ATTGGTTAGCAGTTCTTTGGAATATTGTCTGACTAACTGAACACCTCAATTTGAATTTCTATTCTTCCCATATTGGCCTGTTTAACAAGTCTGCAACACCCCTCAGAAATGGCAGTGGCTGCAGCTCCAACCCCCAGCTTTTGCCTAGAAATCAAATCTCTACTGGAGTTTCCATTTGAACTACAGGGCTATAATAAAAATAATCACATTTCAACTTGCACTTTGTAGGATATATACCGTATTTTTGTAATCTAAGCGGGGCTTAGCAAGTGGAAGTGGAAAGGGATCAAAGCGATTGTGCAGCCACGGGATTGCTTTAATTCCTTTCCCTCTCCTCTTGCTAAGCCCCATGGGATTTATCAAGGGGAGAGCAGGGATCAAAGCACTTTGATCCCTTTTCCCTTCCACTTGCTAAGCCCTGGCAAGTGGATGGGGAAAGGGATCCTACAGATGCATGATGAAGGGGGGAAAGGGGGGATCAAAGCACCCTGCTTTCCCCTCCACTTGCTAAGCCCTGCGGGGCTTAGCAAAAGGAGGGGGAAACGGATCAAAGCAATTCTGCGGCTCAATTGCTTCGATCTTTTTCCCCCTCCACTTGTTTTTGTTCTCTCCTCAGTTTACTTCGGTGTATAAGACTATCCTAAATTTTTAGTATAAAGATTTTAGACAAAAGTATCATCATACACAGAAAAAATACGATCTATAAAAGTCTAAAGAAATAGAAGTTTTTTTTAAAAAAAGTTAAAAATATTCCTGAGAATGGAAGGTTGTGAAGTATGAGTATGTCCGTAAAAATTAAATTAATTTTGATAAACAAGCTTTTCTGCAAAAGATATGGGAGTAAAAAAATGACTTTGTATACAAATATGGATGTTTGAACAGAAGAAATCATTCTTTTCTTAATGATTCATTTATTGTTATTACAGAATATTCAGACAATATTTTCAATATCTAAATAAAATCTAAATGTAACAACATCAATAAATACAGCCTGCAGGACAACAATAAACACCTCCTCACATTAAAAAGGCATTCTTTAAAAAGAAGCACAAACATTAAAGTATGAAACTAAAATAAGAGTGTAAATATAGTATTTAAGAAGTTATATGTAATGTTGACTGAAACAGGCACTGTCACAAGGTAATGACAAACATGAAGCAGTGCTTAAATTCAATAATGGTCAAGTAAAGTCAAATTTAAACATACTGGTTTGCATTTTTGCTCAATTTTAATTACTGTATATTTTAAAGTTATATTTTAGATGCAATGTTATAATAATTACTGTAATGTTTACTTTTTTGGGGTATCACATCGAAAGTAGCAGCAATGTTCAACTGTTGACAGTTCAACAGTGCGTATTATCCCAACTACTATCATTATCATTATCATCATCATCACCATAATAATAATCATCACTTTCACTAATATGACACATAGTCCATTTTCTGAAGGCCTGTATTTTCTGCAAGCATGATAAGAGAAGAAAGAAGCAGAAGTGTTAGTTGAAGGCAGCAAATTTAGTTAGTTTTTGAAAAAAAAGCAAAACATGAAAATAAAAATGAAAGATGACTGCAATTATTGAGTTCTAGTATGTCGGAGAAGATCTCTGATGACAGCAACTGTAATCCTGTATTACACCTCACAGCCAAATAAGTCCACGTGTATTGACTCTAAAATTTATGCAAATCCTGCAACATCTTCACTCTACAAAAATGTCACAAAGACCCCTTAATTAGTTAGAATTTACAAAGGATGGGTACAAGTGGATCGCTGTTATATTACATTTTTTTGAAGAATGTTTGTAGATCAAGTGAATTTAGCATCCTTGTTGATTTGCCCAGCATAAGTAGAAAATTATGCAAATAAGCCTATTGACACTGTGGTTCATCCATGGCACTCCTCTGCTTCCTTAGGTTGAGGAAACAGTCATACCCTCAGTTGTGCACTCAACTGCATGCTGAATGGCAATCCAAACAGAAACACTGCTAAGCAACTGCCCTTACATAAGCCCATCAACTTTCTGAAAAGAATGTTGGCCTTTGTAAACTACTATATAACATAAGAATCAGGGTGTGTGTGGAGTGCGATTAGAACAGTTTTGCATTGATCTGCATACAGATCTGTATCCTTCCTTGGAACACATGTTAATGGAGGCAGAGAACCAAACATCTAATTACATTAACCATAAATTCTTATAAAATAGTATGAATTTGACATTTTTTGGGATCAGAACTGAAACTTGTAAATAAACAATGTGATGCATTTGAAATTCTTGGTAATTTCTTATCAACCCAAACTGAGATGTTTAAGAAATGTGTTACATTTGTTTCCTCAGAAATAATAGGTCCATGTAAATAATATTGTTTTCTGGAAGGAAAAAAAGTATCACTGGAATGGGGAATGCTTCCATGAATTAACCCCATGATGAAATACCTTGTATTTTAATCAGTATTCTGTGATAAATGACCTACCAGAGAATACTAATTTCTTTCAGATGTACCAGTTGGTAATCTTTTTGAATGTATAATTTACATTCATGATGCATTTACCTTCCAGGGGAAAAAAAGATTATGAGATTCGCCTCATTAAGTGATCAGAGTCCCCTTTTGCTAAATGTTTCCCAGAGTGAGATGAGTAGACAGCTGTAACTACCCCAATGACTACAGCTACAGAGCAGGCTCCCCCCCCACAAATGCTGAGTGATCACTTGTCATGCAGAAGTATTTTCAAGTCACTAAATGCATATACTGTACTCTTCAAAGTACATTTACTACTGTGGATCAAAATGCCACGACTGCTGTTCATCACCAACTTCTACAAGCTGTGTCACAAATACAGATTGGTTTTATAATGCATTTTCCCCTTCTAACATGCTGCATCACCAACTACACAGTTAATCTGCCTCATGGAAATGTCTAGATCATGAATTGCCTAGATCAATGCCATTAACACTAGTTGAGGGTGCAAAATGCATTCACATAACTAACATTTCTAATCTGATTTGCTCAACCAGTTCTAAATAGCAGATACGAAATGTGTGACAGTAATATCTTCTCTAGCAATAGTAGTTGTGCAAATACTTTGACATCTATTCAGATTCAATTTGATGACAAAATAACTAAGTTTGATTTCATCTCAACTTTCTGATTGCACTAAAACTACTTAAAGAATTTGTGTACTGTTCTTAAAATGTTTCTTCTAATTCAATGAGGAAAGAAGAAAAAATGGCATTACTACACTTTCACGTTACCAGTAAACTTCTTTCTCATTTCACACTCAAAGCTCAAACCACAATTGAGATGTTTAATAGGGGAAACAAGCTGTTAAGAATAAAGGACTAAAGAGCAGTGAACTGAGTAGAATCATAGCTCCTGACAGGGAAAACTGATGTGACACACCCATTAACCACCCTCAAGTGGAAAACTAGATTATTAGAATAAATTTCCTACAGTTCTTCTTTTGGAATTATTCCAAAGAAATAGAAGTCAGCAATGTAAAAATGGTACCAAGCAATAAGTAGTATTCAAAACAGAATCATTTTATAGTATAGAGGAAAAGTAAACATAAGTTAAACAATTCAACTAAAATATTTATACATGTAAAGAAACTCTTGATATGAAATTTAAAAACCATTAGTTCAATGTTTTAAAAATATTTAGTTAAAAGCAGTTATTCAACACTACTGTATCTGCCTTTATTATTTCTCTTCAGATTAAGGCACTTGCATTTATTACACAGCTGAGGCACTAAAATATTTTAATAGACATTTTGTTTTTGCTTTTCACAATTTCTAGAAAAAATTCATTAGTTTTCTTACATATGCTTACATCTTATTGTGGATATTTTTAAAATCCTGCTTTATAAAACTTTTACTTAGAACTATCCTTAAGAATTAAGCTATTTCCAAGTTAATTTCAAAATAGTTTATCCTTTAATACTAAGAACTGTGCACAGGAGGATTAAAGCAAATGTTTTTCATTATTTCCATGTGAGGAAAACTATTTCAACTGTTCAGTTGAGTATCTAAACTGTATTTTTATGATATTATAATTCAGGTTTTGAAATACACACCAAGGTATGTTTTATATCCTGAAAGGAAGACCTTTCTTTCACTCAATAAACAGATTTGTTATGTGGAACATGTTATCACATAAAATCCATGCAGTCCTTCTGTAGCATGCAAAATGTGCACCCCAGTTTTAGGCACAGAGAAGTGGTTGTGCAGATGTAGTCATGAAAGTAATTCAAATGGATCCCTATGCGAAGCAACTTTTGAAGAGGGCTGGTGTGGTGTAAATAGAATCACTTGAGGTCATTGCACATCAGCAACGGCCTAAGAGATTCCATCCTGCCATCACTTCACCTGCCCCTCAGAAACTGAAACTGGAAGGAGCTGTGGCAGCTTTGAGAGCTGCAAGACTTGATTTTAGTCTGTTCTCAGCAATTGCATGTGCTGGAAACAGACTAAATTACAGTGTATTAACCTGCACCAATAAAATAAAATAAAAATAGAAGCTCCTGACAGGGGCTAAAAAAGGTGCAGGGGGGTGCTCTGGGGGCAAACTGGTTTGCTTGTGTGGTTGGTCAAAAAAAGAGTGAACCTATCTGCTCCCACAGCACACCAAACCAGGACAAATACTCATCTGAATGAGCCCTTACACAGGATGAAGAGAAAAGGACGGACCAATCATGTCTCTGAAGCTGTATAAGGTCTCATACAATACATAACATCTCTATTGATAACAGTTATTTTAAAGAATGATCAAACCTAAAAATAAAATCTTTATTCTTGGTACAAATGACCAACTATATCCTTAGAATACAAAATCAAAAAATGGTTTCCACTTATTAAATATAGCTTGTAATGTTTAAATTGAAATAAGACTAAAAAACCAAAGAATTATGCTAATTACTTCTGTATGTGTGTACACATGCATGTGTATTTTATGTACACACACATACTTTTATATCACATCTACTTGAGAGTTTATGTCTTTCACCTGTAACATCTGACTTCCAGCCCCATCTCTCAATCTGTATGGTCGGATAACGCCATCTTCACCGAAGAAGCGGGGCGGGCGCAAGCTCATGACATCTTCCGAAGCATGTGTAGCTCTGAAAAAAAGGTTAAAACTTTTATATTTAACAAAACAGAACATTGAAAAGCTTCCAAATGCATAGTTACATTAGAAAGATAAATACGAATTCTGCAAAAATACTTCCACATCAGTTAAGATTGGGTTTGTTATGTCCTGCCAAGTCAGAACCAAGTTATAACGACCCTATTGAGAGATACTGAAGGAGGAGTTTTACCAATTCTATTCTCCCAGTTAATTTTAATTTGAACCCTGAATCCCAGTCCATCATCCTATCCACTATACCACACTGGTTATTTACAAGACTGGGTAGCATGACCTATATATTATTTTCCTGTCTGAAAAACACCTTGCTAACTTCTAACTGAAGGGGAAAGAGATGAGTAAAACAGGTGAATTTTTAGTGGGGAGAAAGTGTTAACTCCTTCCTGCACACAATTCAGTCCCAATGCAAATTGCTTTCCTGTGCAGCTTTTCTTCCTGAAACACAGTATTGATAGCCAAAAAGACAGTAACAAATATAAAAAATACATATTTTTAAATGTTTCCCTTGTTTTTGTCCAAGTTAATGAAGTATTTGATGTTTACGAAAAATGGCTTCCACAAAGCTGCACTTTAAAATTAAAATTATTATACAGTATATTGTGCTATTGGCTTTAAAAAGTCACTTTATTTTATTTGAATTACCTGTGTTATTAAAACTGACAATATTATTCAGACCTGAGTAGTTGCTGAAAAATGTGGAGCACTGCAATGTAGCAGTGCAATGCAATTTTACTTGTCGTGATAACTAGTTCTATTAAAAATAGGACTGGCAGAAGAATAATTTTCTCCTGAATCAATCAATCAATCAATCTGTCTGTCTGTCTGTCTGTCGGTCGGTCACTCCCTCCCTCAACTAAATTTTACCCTGCATTTCTGCTAAAATATAGGATGGTTTACAAACTACAAAAAACAAAACAAAACAACAACAGATAAACCCATATTTTAGATAAATCTTAAAATCATACAGCCAATCCCACAATAAGCCATTAAAATAAGTAAACAGATAAGGAAACTAAATAAAATTCACAAAGGATGCAGTTAAAATAATACCATAAAGCAGGTCAGAAATCATAAACCAGTCTAAAAAGATGTGCTTTTACTCCCTTCCTAAAATCATTTGAAGTGGAAACGGATTATAACTTGGAAAGAAATTTTAAATCAGAGCTCACTAGCAATCAGTGTGTTCTTGCCTTTTAATCCCCTGAAAAGTGCTGCTAGCCATGTCAATTATTCCTCCAGTGGGTCTTGCCACAGCTCCTACTAATCCTTTTCCAACACCTTTGAAGAAACCTGCTGCTCCTTCTTTCTGGGCTCCTATTAAAAAGTAATAAGAAAAAGAAGAAAACATCACAATTAAATTTAAAAAGTCTTATATACACCCTAACAAACTGGTTTCTGTACTTACAGCATTATCTAATAGAAGTAGTCAAGTTTGCTCCTTATCATCTATATTATTTGCTATAGTAACAGAACCCCTTGCAATCCGGATCAATACCAACCCAAAGGTACAGCGGCCAACAGTTAATGATGAATCCAAAAAGTAAATCTATATGCAGATGGTGTCCTACTGTTCTGAACTACTTCATTAATATCAATACTGGGACTAAATAAAATACTAAAATGGTTTGAAATTCAAATTGACTATAAAGAACATCACAGACAATGTAAATAAATTTTACGCAAATGCCCTACAAACATAGGTGTCCACAGAGAAAAGTACCATATATTTCTGTGTATAAGATGCTACTTTTTCCGAAAATTGTTAGACTAAAAATTAAGGGTCATGTTATACACAGAGGTAAGCTGAGGAGAGAACAAAATGGCCCATAACTTCCCTCTGCAAACAGTCTTCCTTCAGTTCCGAGGCTTAGTTGCCTCCAATCACAAGGCTTAGCTTCCTACAGTCAGAAGACTTAGCTTCCTCCAGCGATGAGCCTTATGTAACTGATGTCAGCTGATGCTGAACAAACCAACCGCAACAGTGCTCAGATGCAACAGGGACTCATAATGTCCAAATGTTCTGAGCCCAAAGGCTGAATAAAGTTAAAGTGTGATGTGTGATATGACAGTTCTAGTATGTAAATGTTACCTAATTATTAAATTAAAATATGTTGTTTTATGTTTAAAATATTGATTTCTTAATTTTGGGTTAGAAAGGTGGGGGTGTCTTATACACAGAAAAATACAGTACTTGCCCCTCCTCCCATCCCCTTGTCTTTATGTCCTACATCTTTTTTTTTACCTTGAGGAAAAAAATGAATGAATATGTAGGATGATGGATCTTTGCCAGTGCAAAATAAATGACTTTATTCCACCAAGGTCATTTACTAATGAGCAAACAAATAAATGATAACTTTGGAGAAGAAAGTTCCATGTGCCTACAGTAACCCAAAGCAGAGGATAAAAAGCAGTTTGTAGTTCTCAAGAAATAGCAGCTTTATGTTTGGATAACAGCCAGCACAGATTGAACGTACCTCTTATTGGCTTTGTTACTATTCCTGTTATTCCACTGACAAAACCCTATAAATGAAAAACAGAAAAATCTCAGTGCAATTCTTCAAATTGATTTTAAGATTTTAAACATAAAGGTCTGTTCCTCTTCAAAATGTACATGTGCAGAGCTCCAACAGTGGAAGCTGCCATAGCCATCACACAAAGTGCTGGTTACACATCTGATCATGTGATCCTGCTGTGCAATTAGGCAAGTGACCAGACAAAACTGGCACCTTGTCATATCATTGTGGAAACTTCTACAGTCGGAGCTCCACTGGGCAGGCTATTGGCAACCCCCAGCCCAGCCCCTTTACATGCCAAAGTTAATACAGGAACATAAATATAATTTTTTAATAATTATCTTATAAAATTAGCTTTATCACTCCACAGAGATACATAAAATACTATTCCAAATCCTGATCAACATTTAAAGTGTTGGCATCTATAGCAGTGTAAATGAAGGAAAACAAAATAAGCAAGTAAAAAGCTATTACAGTCAGCTCGGTCAGATATTGTACTCTTGGTTCCACTACTTAAAATATTTAAGGCAGCATTTCTTACAGATACTAAGCCTTTTCCTCCACGAGTGATACCCTCTTTGAGACCAGCAGGTTGCCTATTCATGGCCTCCCGTCGCTTCTGCTGGTAATCTTCATCCATTGTTATTGCTGCCACTCCTTTAGCCATAGCACCAGTTATTCTTGATGCAGCTCCAGCTAATCCACCTATTATTGTAAGAGATTTCCATAGAAAATATTCAATCATTCAAACACTAAAATATCAAGATTATGTGAAAATTTTTTGCCTATGTTTAAATGAAACCTCTCCTTACCAACAGCCCCACCAACTAGGGCTTTAAGTCCCAGTGCCATTCCTTCAACAAATTCTTCTGGGCCTTGGATAGCTCCCTGGACAGAAGACAAAAGGTAATTATGAGGGGGAATTTCTGATTCATATCAATATAAATGGGAAATGCTCTTCTAGGAAATGAGACTGTGTCCTTGTGGAAGGGGGAAAGTACTCTAGGCTTGAACTGTGGCCAATAAGGGGAACCAGCTCAGTTGTTTAGGCCTCTGGCTGCAGACCCAGAAACTACAGTATTTGATTCCTCACTGTGTCTTCTGGACAGATGAGGGACTTGATGACCCCTTCCAGCTCTGCAGTTCTAAGATGATGATGATTAAAAACCTTGGACTTGGGTTCTTTTTAAAAAGGCAGGATAATTTTAATAAACAAACAAACAAACAAACAAACAAACAAACAAATAAATAAATAAATAAGAAGATAGTAAGATTATAGAAAGTTTTTTTTCCTACTTATATTTTTTTCCAGACAAGGAAGGAAAACCCATCTCAGAAGCCAAAGATAGAATTGGAAAGGTTACGATGGAATGTCCTTCTGCTCATGAGCAAAATGAACTGTTGCCTTCAACCGCTGGAGTAGTAAATCAGTTCTTAGGGTGTGTTGCTACTTTCCCTAAAGTACGCTGTAGAATTAAAAGCTTGAAGAGCTCTCACTGCTGCCTTAGAAAGGGCAGACAGGAACCCTAGGACTAATTTGTCCAAAAAAAAATCATGATACGTGTACACTCCTCAGGTTAACTGTGATATGGTTTGCTTCTAAAAAACTGGAGATGCAAAACTTAGATACATCTGTCCATGAGTGGATCTAAAGTCTTATACGGCTAAACAAACCTGACTGAACCTTAGTGAAATTCTGAAGAAAAATCTGTCACATATTCTCCTCTAAAATAAGAGCAGAACTAGAAAAATCCAGTATATTTTAATGCTTTCAACAGCATATCAGGTGAAATCAGACAATCTCCGGTGTCAATATACGAATGCCAGGAGTATGGAAAACAAACAGGAAGAACTAGAAATCTTAGTTCAGGACTTGATAAAGATAAATAAAACTTGGTGGGAGAACTCCCATATCTGGAATACAGCAAATGAAGTTATAAATTGTTCAAAAAGAAAAGAAATAATAGAAAGGGAGGTGGAGCTGGAAGAAATGTAAAAAAAATTGCATATTCCTGCACAGAAATACAGGAGAATGAGCTTTGTTGTTCCATCAACAGCATCTGGATTAATATAATTGAAATGAAAAACAAATGGAATGTGGTGGTTGAAATTTTCTGCTGACTGCCCAATCAAGGAGATATGAATGAAACCTTTGAAAAACAGATTGCAAACATTTTGAAGAGACACAATATAATAGTAATGGGAGATTTTAATTATCATGGTATCTGTTGGGAGGTAAATTCTAACAGATATGGCCCTTTCAAGAAACTCCTGACTTGTGTTGCTGATAATTTTCTCTTACAAAAAGTAGAGGAAGAAACTGGAGGATTAACTATCCATGACTTGATTCTAATCTATAAGGATGGGGGATGAAGTAGCAGTAACACTTCTGAGGGAAATGGACGATTTCCTACTTGAGTTCTTGACTTCAAAGGAAACAAAAGCAGCCACACATGTACTCTGCATTTTAGGAAAGACAACTTTAATAAACTCAGTGGAATGATTAACTAAGGTCTCATGGCAGGTGATCCTGACAAGAAAGAGATTCCAAGATGTATGGGAGTTTCTTAAAAAGGACATTCTAAAGAAAAAATTCAAACAAGAAAAAAAGGTGGAAGACACAAAAAGATCAGAGAGGACATGAAAACAAAGAAGGACACATATAGAGAGTAGAAGTCCAGGTCACACAAAGGAAGAGTAAAGACTAGCAAACGATAGAGTAAAGAAGCAATGGCTCAGCTACTCAATGGGGGAAAATGGTAACAGATGACAAAGAAAAGGCAGAACTGCTCAATTCCTATTTTAGCTCAGTCTTTTACCTAAAGATGGTCTACCACTTTTAAGGCAAATGTGAAGTACAAAAGGAGGGGGCAGTAGCTTGAGACTGATAAACAGATGGCCAAGGAATATTGTATTACAGTGGTTCCAACCTTGAGTCCTCAGATGTTCTTGGATTACAGCTCCCGGCCAGCACAGGTAGTAGTGAAATTTTAGTCCAAAGTTAGGAACAACTGACCTTGCTGAAGGAGTTCAAATCTCCAGGGCCAGATGAAATGCATCCAAGAGTATTTAAGGAACTGACTGGAGAACTCTCAAAACCACTGTCTATTACTTTCTTGAAAACATAGAGGATGGCTGCAATGTCAGAAGACTGAAGGAAGGCTAACAGAGTTCTTATCTTCAAAAGGGGTAAAAAGGAGGAATCTGGGAACTAAAGACCAGTCAGTCTGATATCAATCCCAGGCAAAATTCTGGAATGGATTATAAAGCAGTAACTCTGCAAATACATTGAAATCAATGCAGTAGCAATTAGAAGCCAACATGGATTTGTCAAGAATAAACCCCACCAAACTAATCTTAACACTTTTTTTCATTGGATAGCCTCCCTGGTGTACAGTGGGAATGCTGTAAATGTAATATATTTTGACCTCAGAAAAGCCTTTAACAATTGCTCCTTCTCAAACTGGGAGGATGGAACAAGTGGGATACCACAAGGCTCAGTCTTGGGCCCAGTGCTTATCAACACATTTATTAATCACTTGGATAAGGGAGTGCAAGGAACACTTATTAGACTTGTGGATGACACAGAATTGGGTGGAATATCTAGAAGACAGGAATAAAATTCAAAAGATCTTGTTAGGCTTGAGCACAGGACTGAAAACAACAGAATTATATTTTACAGGGATAAGTGCCAGGTTCTACACCTAAGAGAAAAAATCCAAATGCACAGTGACAAGAAGGGGGATAAGCATCTCATTAATACTATAAGTTAGAAGGATCGTGGAATTGTTGTAGATCACAAGTTGAATATGAGCCAACAGCGTGATGTGGCTGCAAAAAAAAGGCAAAAGCTATTTTAGACTGCATTAGCAGAAGTATAGTCTCCAGATTACATGAAGTACTAGGTAAAGGTAAAGGTTCCCCTTGACAATTTTTGTCCAGTCGTGTTCGACTCTGGGGGGCAGTGCTCATCCCCGTTTCCAAGCCATAGAGCCAGCGTTTTGTCCGAAGACAATCTTCCATGGTCACATGGCTAGTGCGACTTAGACACGGAACGCTGTTACCTTCCCACCGAGGTGGTCCCTTTTTATCTACTTGCATTTGCATGCTTTCGAACCGCTAGGTTGGCGGGAGCTGGGACAAGCGACAGGCGCTCACTCCGTCGCGTGGATTTGATCTTACGACTGCTGGTCTTCTGACCCTGCAGCACAGGCTTCTGCAGTTTAGCCCACAGTGCCACCACGTCCGTTATGAAGTACTAGTTCCCACCTATTCAGAACTGGTTAGATCTCATTTTGAGTACTGTGTCCAGTTCTGGACACTACACTTTAAGAAGGATGCTGACAAACTGGAACAAATTCAGAGGAGGGCAACAAGAATGATCAGCAGATTTGAAACCAAGCCTATGAAGCAAGACAGTAAGAACAGGGCATGCTTAGCCTTGAGAAAAGGAAACTTAGATACGACAGCACTGGAGATATGACAGCACTTTCAAATACTTGAAAGACTGTCATACAGAGGAGGAGCAGGTCCTGTTCATCATCATCCCAGAGTGCAGGATATGCGGAAATGGACTCAAGTTGCAGGAAACCAGATTTTGGCTGAATATCAGGAAAAACCTCTTAACTGTTAGAACAGTATGACAATGGCACCAATTATCTTGGGAGGTTGCCCTTCCAACTTCATTATTTTATGACCCTGTAAGTTTATGTTGCATTTTCTAGACATTATTCACATGCAGGCACAAGAAGTTCTGAAAACTAGACACTGCACTCACCTGGTAAGGTTCATAGAAGAATGCTTCAACTCCTTCAGACAAATCTCTTATAAATCCAAATGGATTACCCAAAACATCCAGGCCAAGAATAAGAACATACATTTGCCTAATAGCCTAAAATGAAAATGAGTTTAACTTTAGCATGACACTTTAAAAAAACAACATACAAGTTACATGAATCTGTCCACAAAGCTGATGTTTAATTGCACTGGGTTCAATCCAGGCATGACCCTCTGCAATGGCCCCTATTTTCTGAAATCACTTGGATCATGCAGAGGCTATTGACGGAAAACAAGGTGGTGGTGGTTTGGTGGTTCCTCTGCTGGTATGGAAGAGGTATTCTAGGCAAGGATATGAAAAAAAGTGTGATGATCTTTGTGTTTGTTTCATCATGGAGAGAGTGAATTTTGCAACTCAAAAGCTACAGTGACCTAGAGATGTAAAATTTCTGAAAATTTCATTTTTTTTCTGAAAAAATACATTTTAAAAAATACTTTCAGTATTGAGCCTCACAGTCTGAAGTCATGATCTAGCTAGAGATGTAAAATTTCCAAAAATCTCAATTTCTTGCAGAAAAAAGTTTTTCCCTATTTATTTCAGATAGAACATTTTGGAAATTTTACATCTCTAAACACATAAACTTAACATGCAATATGGTGCCAGACCCCAACTAACTTAATTTTACAGGAGTAGGGAGCTAGTGAGAAAACAGATGCTGTCATCTACCACCACCTGGTGGTCTATGTGGGATTTAAAAAGATCAAAACCAGTCTGAGTAAGAACCATCCAAGAAGGATGAATAATAATAAAATGTCTGTTAGATACTATTTCCTTTAGATTCCAGAGAAAGAAGTGTGTATCTAGTTCCAGAGCTAGGTAGGAAAGCAACACAGAAAAACGTCCTCTGAAGAGACATAATTATTTTTTTAAAGTCACACAATCACTAGTTACTGATCTTGAAAAACTGTTGAATTATTATTATGATTATTATTTATTGGACTTATATACCGCCCCATAGCGCTACAAGCACTCTCCGGGCGGTTTACAATTTTAATTATACAGGCTACACGTTGCCCCCCCAGCAAGCTGGGTACTCATTTTACCGACCTCGGAAGGATGGAAGGCTGAGTCAACCTTGAGCCGGCTACCTGGGATTTGAACCCCAGGTCGTGAGCACAGTTTTAGCTGCAGTACAGCGTTTTGACCACTGCGCCACGAGGCTCTTCTTACACTCCCTTCCACATAAAAATAATTGTTATTATTTTCCCTAACTATTTGTCTTCTGGACCAACTCCCCTGTGAGGAAAGATTAGAACTATTTATCTTAGAAAAGAGGTTAATAAAAAAGGGAGACGTGACAGACGTGGTAAGAGTATAGGGAAAATCTTTTTTCCCCTCCCTTTACTATGACCTGGGTTCATTTATGAAAGCTGAATGATCGGAGCCTTAGGACACATGAAATGAAGCACTTCAAACTGAACACTTCAAGACACAGTGACAACTACAAGTCTGGACAATTTTTTAAAAGGGTTTAATGAAATTCATGAAGGATAAAGCTATCAGGAGAGCTACCAGTCACTACAACAAATCGTCTCTTAAAACCAGCTGCTGTGAACCAAAAGCAAAGGACTATGGTATTCAGTTCCTGCTCTTGAGTTCCCCACAGATAGTATATGAAAAATAGAAAGCTGGACTTTATGTGATCTGAAACACAGTGACTCTTTTTATGTTCATTCTTTTTGTTAAAAATAGTATACCATAATCTACATTAAATTGTTGGATAAACTCATCCTACAGAGAATGTTCTACCTCCTTCAATAGAAGCAGTCACTTTTAAAGAAATATTTTGGTCATAAAATTCTCAGAAACATATCTAAGCTAAAAAGACAAAAATGTGAATGTAATATGGAAGTATGGTTGCATATTTTAAAAGGACACTATAATCTCTGCAATACAGATTTCATCATCTATTGAAATATTTTTAGTTATATAATTAACTGTGCAAGAATAGCAACTTGTTTATCAGATACTGAACAATTAATTCATACTTATTTATACTAACCTGCTTTGAGTAATGCATAATAACTGCCCATTGCAGCTGTTGCCTAGTACAGAAGTGATAGTTGAGCTCAAAGAACGCCAATCTATAATAAATTACATAAGTTAAAGCATTAAAAAATCAACTATATGCCATTACTTTAAACTTGAGTCAATATATGTTACACAGTTGCATTTTGCATGTTTTAAACACATAATATGTTTTATGAATTGGTTGTTTAATTTTAAACTGCATTTTGTATATTTTACCCATAAATATGTTTTATGAGCTGGTCACCTGACTGTAATAAATAAATTCATTCATTCATATATGTCACATACTTAAGAACAACATCTTGCACATCTGTAAGTGTCGCCCCAATGCTCTTTAATAAGAGATTCAAGGACTGAACTGGAATCAATTCTTTGCGTCTCTCTTCCTTGTTACTATCTTCTCCACCAGCGCTGAGTGAAAAACTTAAATGTAACTGAAAAACAAAAAAAAATGGAAAAGCTGGAGAACATTCAGTGTCTTAAATGCTTGTGTTTAAAAGTTTTGTTGTTGTTGTTTTGGTAACTTACCTTTCCTGACCAACATCACTTATTTTTAAATCATAAAATTTATCTAAAATCTAAACTAACCTGAAAAACACAGTGCCTTCCTGAGCTGTAGTTTTAAAGGGGTAGCCACGTTAGTCTGTGCTCACATTAAGATGTTAGTTTTTAAAGTGCCACAACTTTTTTGTCTTCTTTTTTATTTTTGTTTTGCTTTTGCCTGACATTAAAAACACAGAATGTTAACTAATACAGAAATATTTTAAGGTATCTTAATATCCTGAAACAGCTGGGGAAACAAGATGGGGATAGGCTTTTATACACATGGATCAAATGGAAGTAACCTGATAGAGGAAACCTGGTCTTTTCAGGACCTTCTCTTTTGGGAAGACAAAAGTATCAAGTGTCAATGGCTAAAAGAGAGGGCTTCTTTTATGTTTTTCCCCTTCCCACTCAAGTTAACTGAAGGTCCCATCCCTAATCATTACTATAAACTTTGGCTCATAAGTCACTCACTGATTCACAGAACATATTTCCCAATCCACTGATGTTTGCCACATTTTCACTGGAGTTTCAGAAATAGAGCAGATTTTTTCTAAATCACCAAAAGTGAGAATTAGAGGTACAGGGCATATGCTGCAGGGCATCTTTTTCATAAGAGAGTCAAGGACACTTGTTTCCTGAAGTGCTTCAACACCACACCTCTTTGGCCTTGTCTAATTGGTGGGAAGAACAAGGTGAGGGGGAAATTGGGAATAGCACATATTAGAGGACTATCAACAATGCTGTTTTCCCAGAGAATGTATGAATAGAAAAACTGAATTAAATTCCAGAATATACTTGCAACCAACCCTATTCAGCTTGATCCAATGTGAGACAATCTGCCTCTCCAGCCACACATTGAGAAAAATGTCTTCCTATGGCAAGGTGCTTAGCACTGAACATGGTACAAACTCTGATCCTTCCTGAAATCTAACCTGTTACAGTCCATGTATGCCCCACAGCTGTGATAAATACGTCTGAGGAAAGGTTTTCATTTGTCGGTCTCTGCTATACTTAGAGTAACTTCCACATACAAATAAAACAAAAGGTTGTGACTTAAGGGACCCTGTACAGATTAGATTTACCATACATCTTTCTTACCATAGATACTGTAATTCACCCAAGCTGTAAAACCACTACAAAAATCTGCTGCTTATGGTTTGAAGTACTGGGAACGAAGGCATAAACATTTATTCATCCTGGTTCTTGCTTCATGGCTGCATTCACTGCAAACATTTTATCTGTAGAATGCTGTGAAAAGGTCCTAGAGTTGGGCCATCCCCATGCCTTCTACCTCAGTCATGTCCTTGCTGATTTTTCCTAGGCCACCTTATCCACTGTACCCTGCAAAGCTACCAGCTTTGCCAGAATCACCAATGGAGGTAGAAAAGGAGAAGGCAGGAGAGACTTGTCCAGAAGGTCCAGAGGGTGGGAACCTTCTGAAAAGTGTGAAATCCAGGGAGAAAAATGATTGTCCAAAAATCTAGAAGGCAGGATGGAGATCCTGAGGTTGTAAGAAGGAATAGAGAAAGTAGTAAGGGGTAGGACTGGTGGAAGTAGGTCACGTAGGGGGAGGAGAGAGAGGAAGAAGAGAATGAGATGTGACCCATCGTTGTACTAAAGGACAGCCCAAGAATGGCAGAAGCAGTCTGAAAAAAGATTCGTCCAGTTGGACTAGTTTGTAATTATCTTGTTGGTGTGGCGATTAAACCTGATTCACAAAAACAGCTTTGACTCTGGCTTTTATGTCTCAACAAGGAGGACATGGTAGCCTGTACATGTACACGTACCTTGATTGGAGAAATATGAAAATACTCATATAAGCTGATGGCCGAAGTATCTGTTGATGATACATCCTTCAATTCCTCCTGTACAGCTTCTACATCCTTTCTGAAAAGTTCTAGCTGTAAATACATAGCATCAAACAAACAAACAAACCTCAAATCAACAGTTTAGTTTCCCACACATTACATAATCCATAGACAAGGATGGATGGTATCTTTATTAAATTACTAGAATTTCTCACAAGGAGGCTATTGTATTGGCTGAAATACAATATTCTGAAATCCCATTGCTGGAAATCCTGCTGTACAAAGGTTACAATATTATCAGCTTTACACTTCAAGTTGCAGAACAGGATTTCAGCTATTATAGGGACGTGGTGGCGCTGTGGGCTAATTATTTCAGCTATTATGTATTTACTGAAATCCTGTTGCTTTGCCTAGCAAGTTACACTACAGCAGACCCACTAAATCATTGTGGATTTGATGTCAACTCCTCCATAAGTTCAAGTGCCTCAAATGGGCCTACTCTAGTACAACTTACTATGTTAAGTAACAGGATTTCAGACATTATACTAGCTGAAAGCCTGTACTAAGTTGCAACTAAAGTAGGCCTATTGAATCAATGGATTTTACATATATAGTCCATCCCTTATTTTCAAAGAAAACCATTGGATTCACCATGGTGTGGGAAGAAAATAAGTTAGAGGTTAAGATTGAGCAGTAGCATGTTGATGGACACACCACTAACTAGTTCACTATGAGTCTGGAAGATACAGAAAGAGTGGGGACAGATTAGCTGGGTGGTTGGTGTGTTAGACTAACTAGTTCAATATGAGTCTGGAAGATACAGAAAGAGTGAGGACAGATTAGCTGGGTGGTTGGTGTGTTACATAATAGCTTTCTCACTTCTCTATTCCTTTGTGCATCTTTGATTCTTTTTATTTCAAATTCTTTTGGCTCTTTTTTCACAGTATTTCATCAGATATCCTTGAGTCATTTCTTTTGTCCAGCGTACAATGAAGCAGCTGCAACAAGCTCTCCATAGAAAATATAGTTTGAAATATGGTTATCCAGCATCTTGAAGACATAGTCCGTCCACTGAAGTAGTTTGCTGTTTCAAGACTATGAAAATTCTTCTCATTTGTATTTGCTCTAAGATTTCAGTATCATGAACTTTATCTTGCCATTTGATGTCAAATATCTTCTAAGGCAGGTAAGAAGAAAATGACTGAGCTTTCTTGCACAGCATTGATAGATAGTACCAACTCCATAAATCAGAGAGTATAGCACCAACAGCTTTGTACATCTTCAGTTTAAAAGAAAGATTGATTGCATATCAGTTACACAGAGTATTTAAATTTTCTGAAGGCAATTAAGATTGATTGCATATCAGTTCCACAGAGTATTTAAATTTTCTGAAGGCAATGCTGGCTTTAAAGATTCATGAGAATGTAGCGGGAGACAGTGCTGGCATGAACTTATCCACTGCAGTATGGGGTACTCAGTAGATAAGTTCCAGTGGTATATAACTGGTTCTTCACTAGGTACACCTGAGCATGGCTGATATATCACCTCTGTCTTACTAGTATTGATCTTTGGTCCAAAAATGTTATAGATGGAAAAGAACAAATAATGAGTTCTGATGGCACAGCTGTCAGCAAAAAAGCCCCTCATACATGGCGTACTCTAGTTGCAACTTAGTATTGGGTTTCAGCCATTACGACATTTAATGTAATGAAATGTTGTGTTCTGTTAACCTAATGTAGTTACATAACATGATGCCTATAGTGCTGGATATATGTAAAATGACTCAGACTTGATGTAAACCTATGCAAACATCATGTCCTATTTATAGCATTAATATTTTTGCAGATCTTGTTTATACAGTATATATTCTGGAATAATTATGCCATTATTTAACATGTGGTACATAAAATTCAATTGAGTGTCTGGAAACTGGCATGCATCATAGTACATGATGCCTATAGTGCTGGATATATGTAAAATGACTCAGACTTGATGTAAACCTATGCAAACATCATGTCCTATTTATAGCATTAATATTTTTGCAGATCTTGTTTATACAGTATATATTCTGGAATAATTATGCCATTATTTAACATGTGGTACATAAAATTCAATTGAGTGTCTGGAAACTGGCATGCATCATAGTTCATTGCTGACATTATGCCATTATGTGGTACATAAAATTCAATTCAGTGTCTGGAAACTGGCATGCATCATAGTTCATTGCTGAAAGTATTCTTGACATAATAGCAGTTTATACCTCTTGGTCTTTTGGCACTTCATCTTGAAATGTAAAGAAATCAGCCAAAGCATAGAGGAAACCTAGATCTAATCGGAGATCCATCTCTTGAATTAGAACTTTGAAATACCTGCAAATGATTTAAAAACTGCCTAAATACAAGTGTTTCTAAAGACAGTCTGTTTCAAGACATATCTTCAAAATTTACATCAATTTCACATCAATAATTTTCTCACAACACAATTAAATGTATGTTTACCCAGACGTCTGTGTGACTATGTCCGAGACACTCTCAGCATCACACTCATAGGAATTCTGAGAATTATATTTAACAAATTAAAGAAAACATTTGTTGTCTTATTAAAACATGGTATCAGTGTAGATAAGTTAAAGAATTAAGGAATCTTGAGACAGAAGCAGCAGTGAATGTAGAGTAGGGACTGGAATTGTTCAGCTTGAGAGCTGCCTGATGTCAATCAAGGCCCTTTGTACTGCCCCTTGAAGCCTCCCTCTCTCATTGCTGGAGCAAAAAGAAAGAGCTGGAGATATGTGCCCCTAGAAGGCTCCCTTCATCTGGTGCTCTGTAGAGTTTCTGGCTCCCCAAAGAATATTTCAGAAAATGAAAGTGACATCTAAGTGTCCAGGATGTGTGGAAGAAGAGGGCAGTGAAGCCCCTGGACCCCTCTTTAACAATGTGTGTCTGCAACTTAATCATCTAGCACAGGAAGTCTACTACTACACAGGACGTCTATTACTATGAAGATGCTGTTCTTTGCGTCTAAAATGTCTAGAGTACTACAGAGGAAGCAATAGCTCTGTATCCTAATATCTGCCTTCCCATAGTAAAGAAAGTGGAGTGGCAATATTTAGTTTTCATCTTTCAATTACTCCATTTTCAGGAACATTTCATTTCAAACTGCAGAGAATAACTCTCTGGATCAATCACCTTTTGCAAATAAAAATTTTGTGCAATTGACAATTGGAGGTAAAAAAAACCCTCTTATGCACAAAGTGACATTTCTATGCATCTATGTTTAGGGTTAATAAAATTAATATTGGAAATCACCATATAACCTGTTATTAATTGCAGCCCCTCCAAACCATATTTAAATCAGAAAAAATGTCACAATGGTTTCAACAGGGTTTACATCCATATAAGCAATAGTGAAGTTTAGACCTAGATACATAGATCAGTCCTACATTCTGAAGTCTCTCCTAGTGAATACAAGTGAAGTAAAAATTCTTGGAGTCTTGATTTAATACTGGATAAAGAAAATATACTTACTTTATACGTGAAATCTGAGAATGTCCTGCAGTTCTCATGACAATACTGACATCAGTAAATGGTTTGGGTTCTATGAACATTTCAAATAAAAAGTATGTCAGCACAGATTTGAGACACATTCACGAAGAATTTAATTTGTTCTGACATGTAGACTAATATATAAAAATAAAATCATTTGCAAAGGATATAATGAAAGTGTTAGGCAACCATGATCAAAGGTGTTAAGTATATATGGAAGCATAAATGAGAGGAAATGAAACTATAATTAAAATATGAAATGTACACTCAAAAGTATGTTCTATATTAAATCTAGTAGATGCAAACTAAATGATCAGTTCAGTGAAATTTTAGATATTGTCAGATTTCAGATGCAATGAGTGTCTGGTTGTTTAGGTGTTTCTAAGATAAATGGGCTTGGGATACTGAGTCCCTTACTAAGTCCAATGGACAAGATAACTGCAAACAAATACAAGTTTGGCAATAAAAATGATCTTATACCGAACAAATGCAAGGGAAAGTTCATGAATCTTTCTACAGTACTAAGAATGGACCAACTTCAAGCAATTTAGGAAGAAATATATACACTTCCCAGTAAAATCTACTTTATTTTTTAATTTATTTAAAAATGTTTTAACCTGTTAATAGATTGTTTTATCCTTAACTATTATAGATGCAGAAATATAACAACAATGCATTAAACTGTATTAACAAACCTGAATCCAAGGAGATGGACTTGGGAGGTTTAATAGGATAGAACACAAAGGGAAATATGGCTCCAGGAATCTGGTTTTGTATCTGACAAGGGCAATGAAGGACAATATGATGCATGTTAGATGTCCATTTGCAAATGTTTGTTTTTACCTAAAAGTTTCAACAAACCTCCTAGCTTGCAAATCATAAGGATTTTGAATTGAAGGGGGGGAAGCACAAATAAAAATCTTTTATCTATGAAAAACAATGGCTAACTTTCTTTTGGATTCTCCATTAAACAACATTCGTATTTTGAAGTTTGAACTGAAATACATTATTTGAAGATACATTAAACATCATTTTGATGTTCATGAATATATTGGTTCTTTATTGTTTATTGGTTCTATATTTTATACATACAACACAAAATACATTTCACAAACTTCCATATCAGTGCAGGTTCTTTGCTATTTAAAAATTCCCATTTAAAATGTATTTAATTTTAGGAGTATGTCCAGGAAATTCAATTACTGTAGATATTACACGAAAAGCCTGAGAATTTAGCTGCATGGATTAAACAAGATTCATTTTCAAAAAAAATCTATCCTGACCTACTTTATTATTTTATCTTGAGGTCAATATCCTAAAGATTGTTTTATTAATAACTGTTGATAATCCTAAAACATACCTGTATTCTATAAATCTGGACTCGAAAGGATGACTGATGTTCTGAGGTACTATATTGTACTTTCAAAGCTGGCAAAAAGCTTCTCCTCACAGGGATTTCAGTCGGCTGAAGTATTTTCATGTTATTACCAGTAGGAGTCAAGCAAACCTGTCATTTAAAAACATTCAAATCTAAATCCCATATACTATAAATCTACACAACATTAGAGGAAAATACAGCTTACTTAATTTAAGCATCTCTATGTTCTGCCATTTTCTAAAGGAAATGTTTAAGAATACAGCCAACCTTTTACAGTGGTGCCTCACTTAACGGGCGCCCCGTCTGACGACGAATCCGCATAGCGATGAAGATTTTGCGATCGCTTTTCCCCCATCAACCCGAAGCCCTGCCGATCAGCTGGGTGAAAATGCAGGCTTCAGGATGATCGGGGGGAAGTGCTTCCCCCCCATCATCCCAGCCCCACCGATCAGCTGCGCGAAAATGGGGCGTTCGTGATGATCGTGCGGAAGCGATCATCGCAAACGCCCCGTTTTCTAACAGCTGATTGGCGCTTCCAAAATAGCCACCCGCAGTGTTTTTGCGCCCTTTCCTCGCTTACCGGGCAGCAAAAATGGTGGGCGGATGGAAGATTTTCGCTTACAGGTGAGTTTTTTCCCCATAGGAACGCATTAAACGTGTTTTAATGCGTTCCTATGGACTTTTTTGCCCCATATAGCGACGAATTCGTATAGCGATTATTTTTTCGGAACAGATTATCGTTGCTATGCGGGGCACCATTGTATTTGAAATCACCTATTATTGTATCATTCTCACAAGCTTTAAAAACAGTAGAAGAGGAAAAAGAAGAGGCCTAGAGATTAGGATACACAAGGATTTGGTTTTAGTCAATCACACACACACACACAGGTATAAACTACTGAGATTGATGGTGTTTATTCAATAATTATACAAACAACCTTTGCTTACTGTGTACTATTTCTGAGGGGAATCACCTATCATTGTATCATTCTCACAAGCTTTAGAAACAGTAGAAGAGGAAAAAGAAGAGGCCTAGAGATTAGGATACACAAGGATTTGGTTTTAGTCAATCACACACACACACACAGGTATAAACTACTGAGATTGATGGTGTTTATTCAATAATTATACAAACAACCTTTGCTTACTGTGTACTATTTCTGAGGGGAAAAGCTGCTGTTCACCCCCTCAGCAGTTGCATCAACACTAACTATGCAAGAAGTTTTAGTAGACTGCACCACTGTTAGTTGGAGCATATTACAGTCTCTTCTCAGAAATTAAAAACAGGCTTCTAATCTGTAACTGGTTTCTCAAATAGTCATTATTAATAGTAATCTTAATAATGTGGAGCTGGAAGGAACCCTATGGATCATTGAGTGGGTAATCGAAGCTCCAACCTCTGGCTGTAAAGCCAGATACCTAAAAAACAGATGTTGCCATATAGGTACATTCTGTGTCTATAGCATTGTTTGGAAAATTCTAGCATGGATTTCCTCCACATGACACTCTTGAGATATTCTGAATTATAATTCCAACCATCACATTTCACTCAACATCTTGGTTTAGCCTGAGAGAAATAATACAAAATACCTGAACTATACCACATTGGGAAATCTAGTTCTAGAATGAAGATAATATTTTGATGGAAGGTTCATCAGTGCTCATAAACCTAAGCACCATAGATCCTGCTTTCCTGTTCAGTTCCTAATGGATCAGTACAACTGCTACATAGGAACTACCAGGATAAGAGTAGATTGCACAACCATCTGCAGCAAACCAAAATATACAAGTTGTATGCCTACATAGATCACTTGGAGAATGACAGGTTACCCACCTGTAATTGTAGTTTTTCGAGTGGACCTCTGTGATTCACACATCCTGTCTGTCTTCCCCACTGTCGTGCCATTCAGCTTAAAGTAGTGGTGGTTGACACAAGGGGAGCCTTGGTGCCAAGGTACTTATACGAGATGGGAGGGGCTTTATTCTAATGTGCTTTTTGCTACCGCAGAAGCTCTAGAACTTTCCAATGAGGCTCCGCACAGGTGCGGGCCACCCATGGTGTGAATCACAGAGGTTCACTCAAAGAACTACAATTGCAGGTGGCTAACCTGTCAGCGTGGTCTGACATGCATGACGGAGGAGTGAGGACAAGGTTCTCACAGGAACTACTTAGCTTTAGAAGATTTTGAGCAAGGCTGTGTGCAAGTGCAAGAATTATGTACACGGGTTCATGGATTATCATTTCAAGAACTTCAGTTACAGTAAATGTTGTGTTTTTGTTTTCCTATACAGTGGTGCCTCAACTAACTAATGCCCCTACCTACAAACATTTGACTTATGAACAGCTCCGCTCGCAAAATTTTGCTTCGACTTCTGAGCAGAGCTTCGACCTAAGATCCGAAATAGGCAGGGGGAAAAGGCAGGAAATTCAAACCGTTGGTGGAGAAGAGGCTGTTCTTTGTAGCTCTCTCGCCCCCAAGAGTTAGAGCAGGGGGGTCAGGGACCTTTTTTACTCCTGTGGGGTAGGAGGAGGAAGGAGAGGTGGGCGCAGGTCTGGATATCCGCTAGGCGCAAGAAGCCAGTGCACTCCCTGCCCATACCTGGCGTGGGTCTACTCATGAGTAAGCCCTGCAAAAGTTGCAGGTCTACTCATGAGTAAGGGCTTTGGGTCTACTCATGAGTAAGGCCTGCAAAAGGTGCAGGTCTACTCATGAGTAAGGGCCCCCAAAGTCCCTGGGCTGGGGCACGCAGATCAGAGGGGCTCCTCCATGGATGGGGCATGCAGCAGCAGCGCAGGAGGAGGAAGGAGAAGCGGGATGGCTCCAGTTCGCTGCCAGGCACAGGAAGCTGGTACACTCCCTGCCCATCCCCAGCGCAGGTCTATTCATGAGTAATGCCCCCCGTCCCTGCCTTGGCTGTCCTACGCGCCAGCCGGGGCCTGTCGCCAGCCGCCATCTGAAAACCGACCCACACAGACCGGTACCTACACAAAAACTCCAACCACCACCCGCAGCAAAAAAGAGGCATAATCAAAACACTGGTAGACCGTGCAAATCGGAACTGTGAAGCTCAGTTTCTCAGCACTGAACTCAGCAATCTGAATTGGGCCCTACAGGCAAATGGCTACTCCAAAAATGAAATCACAAGAGCCATCAAACCAAGAAAACAACACCAAACTGAAGAATAAAAACAGCCACCCACAAATAAAGTATTTCTGCCATACATCAAAGGGGTCACGGACCGCATAGGGAAACTTTTGAAAAAACACAACCTACAAACAGTATTCTAGCCCACCACAAAAAATACAACAAATGTTACGTACGGTCAGCAAAGGACAGAAGAGACCCCCTCACCACTGCAGGAGTATACCGGATACCTTGCAGTTGTGGACAGGTATATATTGGAACGACGAAATGAAGCATCCACACCAGAATCAAAGAACATGAGAGACACTGCAGACTAAAACAACCAGAAAAATCTGCAGTAGCTGAACATGCCCTAAAACAAACTGGACATGGAATTCTATTTCAAAATATCGAAATACTGAACAACACCAGCAATCATTACGTTAGACTGCACAGGGAAGCCATTGAAATCCACAAGCACCAGCAGAACAACAAAATGAGGAAAGTTTGAAACTCAACAAAACTTGGCTCCCAGCTCTCAAAAATACAGCGTGCAAAACGTCAACGAACTCTATCCAGCCACAAGGACCGGGGATCACTACACACAAAAGACCAGCTAATGACACCCATCAATCACAGTGACAGATAATCTCTCCTCTTTATCACAACAATACACTCACAACAAGACACACTAATCACCCATCTCCTGAAAAGGACAAAAGCCTGTCTCACAGCCATAAATACTCCACTCCCAAGCCAACTACACCAGAGCATAGAGTGCTATCCTCTGAAGATGCCGGCCACAGAGACTGGCGAAATGTTAGGAAGAACAACCTTCAGAACACGGCCAAAGAGTCCGAAAAACCCACAACAACCATTAGATCCCAGCCGTGAAAGCCTTCGCGAATATATTACAATAATTGATGCAAAGAAGTAGAAGAGAATAACAAAAATAGAAAAGACAAGAGATCTGTTTTTAAGGATCCAAGAAATGGCAGGGAAATTTAAATCTAGATTAGGGATGTTGAAAGAGCAATGAGGGAATATATCTGACCAGGATAAAATGGAGAGTTGAAATAATGCAAAATATACAAAAGAGATTAAAGGATTATGGATTTCTTTGATGATGAATCTGATGAAGAAGAACCTGAGTTCTAGAAAGTGAAGTGAAAGCTGCTTTAAAAAAACCTGGAAGAAGTAAATCACCAGGAGTATCTGGAATAATGATAGAATTATTCCAAGCTATCTCTCAATATTCTAACAAGCATACACCAATAGATATGAAAAACAAAACAATGATCCACAGACTAGAAATGTTCACTATACATTCCAATCACCAAGAAAGGAGATGCCATAGAATGCAGTAATTATAGGGCCACTGCTGAGTTCCTTGCAAGCAAAGTGATACTGAAAGTGATGCAACAAAGACTTTTACCATATATGGAGTGAGAAATGCCTGATTTTCAAGCTGGATTCAAAAAAGGAAGAGACACTCGAGGTCATGCATCCCCTTGTATTTCTGATCACCATGTATGAGCGTGAAGGCTGGACAATAAAGAAAGCCAACAAGGAAAAATGATTCATTTAAAATACAGTACTGGAGATAAGCTTTGTGGATATCCTGGACTGCCAGAAAGATGAACAAGTGGGTCCTAGATCAACTTGAGCATGAATTCTCTCTAGAAGCAAATATGAAGCAACTATTGTACTTTGGGAACATCACAAAAAGACAAGATTCACTGGAAAGATAATAATGCTAGGAAAAGTAGAAGACAAAAAAGGATGAGGAAGACCAAATATTAGATGGACTGACTCCAAAAAGGAAGCCGGAGTCTTGAGTTTACAAGAGCTGAGCAGAGATATTACTCAGTTTCCCCACAAATAAGATCTAATCTGAAAATAAGTCCTAGTATGATTTTCAGGATGCTTGTAATATAAGCTCTACCCCAAAAATAAGCCCCAGTTAAGTGAAACCCCACCATTGTGCAGCAACCAGCAGATGACAAGACATTTGAATAAATGTAGATCGTTCTACATGAAAAAAATAAAACATCTTCTGAAAATAAGCCCTAATGCATTTTTGGAGCAAAAAATAATATAAGACCCGTCTTATTTTCAGGGAAACACAGTAATAATAGAAGATTCTGGTGGCCATTCATTCATAAAATTGCCATAAGTTGAAAATGACTTGACAGCCCACAGCAACAAGAACAAACATTATATTAATTTTCACTTTACACCTGAATTCTATGTGGTAACAAAAAGAAGAATCCTCTCAGAATTACCGGAACATTATCATCCAACTCCACAATTTTATTTTCTGTTGGGGAGTGATCACAGTATTCATTGAACTCTTTTTCCAGCTTTTCAGTTTGCTTGACACTCAGTGGTCTCCATCTTGACTTCTTTTTGGGTTTTGTTTCCCAAATTACATCAGAACTTGCAAACAAAGCAGAAGATTAAAAATAAGATTATTTATCACAGTATAAACTCTCTATATACAAAGAACTATGATGTAACAGTTTCATTATGCCTCTGAGGTTTTGTTATTCTTCAGTATTTAGATTTTTGCTAGAAGTGGGAAAGACTTTTGTTCCAAAATTGTATCTTTCATGTCCACTAATGTCTTTGGAACGTGAAATACTATTTCTAGTTTATTGTTTACAATTTTCAGTTAAAACAATTTACTAATTTGCCCATAACTGAAGCTTTATTTTATTTATACAGTACTGCAAATCATTCAGCTAGAATTACATTTATAATGACACGTTATTCACCTATAATTGTAGTTTGAGTGGACCTCTGTGATTCACACTCTGGGTAATCCGTGTCTGTGCGGAGTCTCATCGGAAGATTCTAGAACTTCTGTGGTAGCAAAAACACACATTAGAATAGACCTCCCCACACCTTGGCGCCAAGTCTCTCCCTTCAGTTATGTCAACCGCTGCATAATAGAGCTGCATGGCGTGACAGTGGAGATGTCGGGTCAGGATGTGTGAATCACAGAGATCCACTTGAAGAACTACAATTACAGGTGAATAACCTGTCGTTCTTCTTCATGGCCTCTGTGAACCACACCTGTAATTGTAATTGGAAGGAATGCATGGGCATGAGTAGGCTATGCGTGCCCCTATGTACTGAACAACTTTTCTAGGCTGTAACATGGATTTTTGTAGGTTTACAGCAAGGCCGAGATCGCGGAGAAGAGACAAGGCAATATGTGTGTCTTGTTGTGCCCTGTGACAGGAGCAAGCTACCAGGAGCTAGTTGTCGATGTACGGAAAAATGAGGATATTGTGAAGACTGAGATAAGCTGCTACAGGAGCCATGCATTTGGTGAAGACTCTGGGAGCTGTTGTGAGTCCAAAAGGAAGTCTTTTGGATTGATAGGAATGGGTTCCAAGCTGGAAGTAAAGGTAAGGCCTGTGAGATGGATGGATGGAGACATGGAAGTGTTTCTTAAATCTATGACTGAACCAGTCATTCTTTCAGAGCAGAGGAAAAGTGTTTCTTAAATCTATGACTGTGAACCAGTCATTCTTTCAGAGCAGAGGAAGGACAGACTCGAGCGTAACCATACGGAATTTGGTGGTAATGATGTAGTGATTTAGCTCTCTGAGGTCTAGGATGGGGTAAAGACCTTCGTCGTTTTTGGGGACGGTGAAATAATGAGACAAAAAAACCTCTGTTTGTTTGGTATACTGGTTCTATGGTGTCTTTGAGAAGTAAGGGCTGTATTTCATCTTGCAGGGTTTGTGATGGAGGTATGACAGTATGTGATGGCGGAGGGAATTGGTGGAACTGAATGCGGTACCCATTTTGGATGACAGAGAGGACCCAAGCATCCATGGTGATGATCTTCCAGGTAGGTAAGTGTTTCCAAAGGGCAGGAGGAGAAGTTTAATGTGTTGTGATCTCAGCCAGCTGGGTGTCAAATATGCTGTTTGGTTTTACGATCACTGTGCCTAGTCGTGGTCTGTTGATGTGGTTTGACTCTGTAAGGTTGCTGTTTGAAGTAAGGTGTATAAGAAGTTTGCCTCTGAGTTTCCTGAGGAAACTTCTGGTAGGAGTTGTAGTGTACATTGAGTACATTGGGGACAATGTTGGCATGAAGGGTAGACTCCCCAACGTCTAGCAGCTGATCTTTTCTTTTGAACATTTTCCAGAATTTCATCTGTCTCCGCATTAAAAAGCTCTGTCCCATCAAAGGGGAGGTCTTCAATGAATGCTCTTGCATCCTCAGCCAGGCCAGCTGTTCTCAACCAGGAAAAATGCCAAAGGATGACAGCAGTAGCCATGGCATCAACAGTATGTCTGGGTGACAGCATTTGTTGTTTGACAACCAAAAGTCCTTCTCGTTGGAACGCTTGAGCCAGAATTTTCTTATACTCGGGAAGCGTGTCAATGAAAGTGGACATATTGTCTCAGAGGAAATGCTGGTAAACACCCATGGCTCTCTGGTAATTAGCAACTCTCACGATCAAGGCAGCGGAGGAATAAAGCCATCTTCCTATGCAGTCGATTCTCCTGCTGTCCTTATTGGGTGGTATGAGAATTTGGTGATGTCAAGATCGAGACTGGGAGGCTTCCACAAAGATCGAGTTTGGAGCTGGTTGATTTTGGAGAAAAACCACTCCCAGATCATGGACTCGATAAAAGTTGTCGATGCGTTTCAACATGGAATGGGAAGGAGCTGATTTTGTCCATGAACGTTGAGCAGTGCTAATTAGTGATGGCAACATGGAAATGTGTACTGAGGTAGTTGTTTTTGGAGATTGTATCATAAAGATGATCCGCAGGCTCAGTTGTAGGTGTATTTGGAGATCCAGGGACTTAGCCTTATGCACCATCAATTGTGTGTAAGTCTGAAAATCCTCAGCCGGACATGAAGGGTTGGCACCTGCTAAGTCAGACTCAGGCAAATTCAGTAAGATAGATAGTGTTTGTGGTCTGGAACCCTGTTCAGAATGTTCGGCATCATATCAGGAATCCATGGATTGTTGATTGACATCGATGTTGAGGGATTGCACCTCAAAGTATTGGTGTTGACGTCTAGATGTCGATATTGAAGGTGCGTCCATGGACATCTGTCGGTATCGAGGATCGTCCATCGGCAGCAGCATCGATGGGACGTCCATGGACAAGGGTCGATATCAAGGATCTTTGATCTCGGAGCTGGTGTCTCGATGGTGACAAAATATCCATGGAATCTGTCGGTGTCGAGGATCGTCCATTGGCAGCGGCATCGATGGGACATCCATGGACAAGGGTCGCTATCAAGGATCTTTGATATCGGAGCTGGTGTCTCGATGGTGACAAAATTGAGGCTTGTGTAATTAACAGTCATATTGAGGATCGTCTATTAGTAATGATGTTGAAGGAATGTCCATGGATAAGGGTCAATATCGAGGACTGTTGATATCGGAGCCAGTATCTCAGTGGCGACGAAATGGAGGTTGTTGTCTAAGTGGTAAATGCATCAGTGGACCACAGTGATGCTGAGCGGGAGGATCAGCCCTGATCCTCTTGGTGAGTTGGGGAATAACAGCTTACTGGGGCTACAAAAACACCCTGAGCCAAAGAATACTGATTGGCCACTCTTGGACTTTTTAGGCACCAAATGATGGGCAGCCTATAGTCCCTGACAATACTGATGGTGAGATCGCTTCGACATTGAGCGCTGCTGTGAATGGGGATTCTGGTGTAGCACTGCCACCGAACCGGGGAGAGTAACTGATTGATAGTGCCTGGCAGACTTTCTGGTCAAGCACTGATCAGGGCAAAAGGCTACCTGATGATAGTGCTGAGTGTGGGTCGATGCCACACAGGAAGGCAGATGACCCGTCTCGCATAATTGGTGCCCCTGATGATTCATTGGAGGCCAAGGTGGTAGGCCTGAAGGGACGGAGTAGGGCACATCAGGCTGCATTTCTGGCTGTTGCATATCAGGCGAAGCAGCCACGTAAGGCTTGCTGGGGGAGCCAGATTGCTGGGGACTAGCACAGGATGTAAGTTGGTCCATTCTCTCTTCCCGTTCTGGTGATTGTGAGTATGGTTGATGGAAGCCCTTCGTTGTCTGAGGGCAAGCCCATGCAAATTAAGTTGAGGGACTCCAGGAGCTGCAGCGAAATAATCCCTGGATATTTCACCATAGCAGATTTAGATTTCTTTCGTGGTCAGGGCTCCAAAGCCGAAGGAACGTCGGTGGACAGTTTTCTCTTTGTGGACATCTTCAATGTTGAAGGTTTTGAAATCGACTGCTTGGTCTTGTGTCTCTTAGTAGTTTTGGACGACGTTGAGGGAGCATCAGAGTGTGATGGTGTGGATGAAGTATAAGCTTAAGGCTGGAAATGTGACTGTGAAGAACTCCGTGCTTAAAGTTCTTACAGTGAGGACACGAGGAGGTTTGGTGTGCCTCACCAAGGCAAAAAAGACATTTATCATGGCTGTCTTAAATGGGCCCACGGCGGCCATGAAATAGTGAAAAAAAGACAAAATGAAGAAATGGGGGGGGCGCTTCAACCCTGAGGCTGGAGCGAGATACTCTTTTTTAAAAAAGTCATTAAAGAATCCAGATTAAACTCTTTCACTTTAGTAACTCACAGAAACATATGAGGCTCTCAACGCGGCAGCTGAAAGAAACTGGAGAGTCTTGGCACCAAGGTACTTATATGGAGGGGGAGGGGTCTACTCTGATGTGTTTTTTTCCTACTGCAGAAGCTCTGGAATCTTCCGATGAGGCTACGTGCTGGCGCGGATTACCCACAGTGTGATTCACAGAACATGCTGGCGCGGATTACCCACGGTGTGATTCACAGAGGCCATGAAAAAGAAATTCTCTTTATTTCAAGCACTGAAATGAATGGAACTGGATGCAGTACTTATCAGTAAGTATGTTCCACTGAATTCACTAAGACTTAGTTCTGAGCACACATTCACAGGAATGGAATATTAAAAGAGCTGTGTTTTTATTCTCACTCATTTCAAGAAAATAATGCATAGTCCAGAATCCTACTAGTTATTTCTGATGTGTAAGTGCAATGGCATAAACCATAGCAACAGTCACTGCTTATTAAATTCCTACTAGTATTATTCCTCATCACATGTGAAGTCATATGACCACTACATGATGAAGAATACATGCAGCACCTCATTAACAAGTGACTAAAGCCATTTTTACACTATTACACAAGCATAAATTACCAATAGAATTCTGGCCAGTTTAAAGAGAAATTTTATTCAGGTGATAACTTGTCTGCCCAGCATATTGGTTTGTCTTGTACTATTTTAGGTTTATGTAGCTGAAGTGATAATATTTTGACATTTTACCTTGTGATTCCAACGTAAGCAACTTCCTGTTTTACATAATTATTTACTAAAGAGATTCCAACATCTTGTAATGAAATGATAATTTCTTGCTCTGCTAATTCAACTTTTTCACTTTCATATGTGACTTTGAAAACTTTTTCATCTTCAGTGAACAAGATAATACGCTGCAAACCTTCAAAAAATGAAACTAAATAAATGCTCTTGCTTCCCACTTGGATACATGTCATCAAATCCTAGAAACAAAAATAAGAAAATATTCATTTTCACAATTTCAACTATCTCAACCATACCTACAGTCCTATTTTAATCAGTTTACTCTAAAATAAGCAGACAATGAAACCAATTATTAATTATTTATATTCTTATTTTCGATAGCTAGATCAGTATTTATTTATTTATTTATTTAATTTGATTTGTATCCCGCCCATCTGATCTAATAGACCACTCTGAGCGGCTTCCGAAAAAAAAAAAAAAAGTAGGTAGCTATCTGCCCTTCTGCTGATTATGCACTGCTCAGGATAACTAAAAACAAATAATAATGCGAAATTCCAGAAACAACAATGAAGAGAGAGAGAGAGAGAGAGATGCAGCAACTAAAATAAACATACTAGATAAAACTTAATCATGTGATAAATAAATCCCTGCCTAAATAAGAGCATCACCTAAGGAAGGTATCAACCTTGCCTCCCTAAGAACAGAATTTCACAGTTTACATGTGGACACTGAGAATGCCTTTTCTCTCATTTCCATCAACTGTACCTGTAGTATTTTATTTAAAAATTTTTTACTCTGCCTTTCTCCTTAAAGAGAACCCAAGGTAAACTATATAAAAGACAGTAAACAGTTACTGCTAAAAACAGTAAGTAGACAAATATTTTTTAAAGTATCAGACAGATATTAGGGCACTGACAAACTTGTAACAGAGAAAGGAGTCCCTCATATTTTCTGGAGCTAAGCCATTTAGGACTAGGCCAGTTATCACCCATCCTATGAACTGTAAACAGGTTGGATTACCAGTGCAATTGATCCACTATGGGTATAATATGATTACGTAAGTAAGAACTCAGCAGTATCTCACCACTACATTCTGAATAAACCTCACTTTCTGAATGCTGTGTCTTCATAGTCAGGTTTACAGTTTGCAAATGTAGATGTAAATACCCTAGCAAGGAAATTCTATGTACTACCCAAAAAGTCAACCCTCCACACCCGTTTCAAAGGAGCTTACTAACAAATAAGAAGGCATAGTACTGTTACCTAAATAAATTAAACATGCTCCCAAGCATTAGTGAATTATCTCGAATAGCATAATCCTTGCTTTTGCTGTTGTAAGTTTAACAGCTACACAGGACCTTCTTGGTTTTTTATAGTTGTGTTAAGAAAAGTATTAAAAACCAAATTTTGAATAACTCAATCCAGGGTCCATATTCAAGGAGAGGAAATCTATGCATGAAAAGCTGATGTGGAGTATCAAACTAGAATTAGTATTAAAATATAGTTTAAAATGTATTATTCCCATAAAAAGAAATTTTTATAAAAGAAGTGGGGGGAAGGGGCACATTCTCATCCTTTTCATTTCTATTCTATAAAAGGCAGATTTGCACCTGACACTGTGATTTATATACGAAGATAAAAGTTTTAGGAGAGGAGGAAAAGAAAAAGTGTAATCTTTTTTCTTTTCCCCGATAATAAAAAGTCACATGCATACAATCCACAAGCCTGAAAAGACTCATGTTCTAGGTTGGTTGAAGCCTTGACCAGAATATTTTGTAGCACTTTTTATAACTCACAAGTTATAAAAATTGCTATATAAATTAGACCTATACGCTTTTAAAAAAAAACACCAAAAAACTTTAATACGATGTAACATGTTGGCTCTTGGCTTGTATCTATCTGACCACTATACCTATTATTATTATGACTGACACATAATGACTGAAACATCGTTGCACAACTTAAGCCACATAATGGTGATGTCATCAGCTGCAGCAATTTCTCAGAAATTCAAGATTTTGAGAAATTCTCCCAATAAGTCCTGAGTACCCCCTTCACCCTATTGAAGCCACTGAGGGGAACAGGACTTGGAGGTCGGAGGGTGAATGAGTCTAATTTCCAAAAATCACTGCCAGCAATAGGATTTCCGCCTGTGGGTGTTTGGTCTGGAATGGCTCAAGACCAATTTGGACACAACTGAAACCTAGATCTTTTGAGGTTCCATACTGTCAAACAGATGCATATTGGCCTTAAATAGTTACCAACCCAATCTGCCAATTAGCTAAGAGTTTTCTTACGGAAAATCTGCTAATCAAAAAAGCGCTCTTTAGCTCCCTTTAGTCCAAATCTAGTTTATTTAAATTTCTTTCTTGTCTCCCCTTGATGGATTTTTCCTGCTAGTTGTTTGAAAATATTGATCTCAATACTAATTTATATGTCTAAAAACCTTTAGACAGCTTAAATAATTCATTAAATTCATTGTTAAGTATCACATTACTCCGGTCTGAGTTTATTACAAGAAGTATACATACATCTTTCTGAGTTAGTTCCCCATTGGTCTTTCCACATTTCCATTTCAATTTTCTAGAGCCTGCTGGGTCAACCCATGTGTAAAGTACTGCTTTATTTGGTGGTAGAATATCTTCCATTACATGGAGAGAACTGCAAACAAAAATATACAAAAATGTCATAAATCCCAGGATTAACACAATATAAAGTTCATCAAGTACTGAATTTCTAAAATTTTCCCATTTCAATTGTTTTTCACAGTTAGATTTTTGTAATTAAGTTTCCACTGTTTAATTCAAAACTGACCCTCCCCTTCAGAATGCAGTTCTTCCTAGCACTTGCTTCAACTTTCACCTTTCTCCTGCTTTTGGAATTCTAGGACACATGAGTGATTGTATAAGAAAGACTGCAGAGTTGGTTCAAAAGACAAAAACCATTATGGGCAGAGCTTTTTTCTCATTTGAAATACTTCCTGATCTTCTGTTATGAGTAGTTACAATGCTTTGCTAAAGGCAAATAACTAATGCTTTTTCGTAAGATAAACTCATATCTGTTCAATGATGAAGAACAAGTAATGCACTAAAAACCCCTATCTACGTACAGTATTAACATAAGTTTAATCAGTACTCACTCAAAGTACTGAATCCTACAGTAATGTTCATTCTACAGAACTTGAAAAAATCTATATACATACCTTTGCCCATATTCAATTATTTCTCCTTTTGTATGATTAATTATCAGGAATGGAGCTGCACCATCATGATAATTCAAAAATGTAATTGTTGTTGAATGTTCAGCTAGTGTAACATCCACAGTAATGCCTCCAAGCTAATAAATATGAAAATAGTATATTAAATTTTACTCTATTATTAGTTTAACTTGTCAGCATAGCAAATTAATTTCAAAAGCTTAAATAGCTTGGTAGAATATTTTAAAATATTCATTTTTTACCTGAATCTTTTCTAGGTTTCTGAATTTTAAGTAGCAGAAGGAAAGAAGAAGGTAGAATATGTATTTAAAGCTCATCCAAGTAAATGATATTACTCACCCTGTTGTCTAAGTGTAACAGTAAACTGTTTTCTTGCTTATCATACTGTATAATTTTTGGTGGAATGTCAGAATCTTGTACTCTAACCTGTAACTTGCTTTCATTATTTTCAGGCCAAAAAGGTATACACTGGGGGGAGGAGAATGATATGTATTAGTAAATGAAACACATAATTGAGATTGAATTGTAATCTTAGACAAGCAACCCAACCTCTTTTGATTAATACAGAGCAATAAATATTGTGAACCAGTAATTTAGTATCATTTGAATGCAAAGGAACAAAACATAAATGTTAACAGTCAAATGCATTTTGAGCTCCAGAAATCTCCATTACCCTGTTATTAAGAAGATAATGGGGGTATGAAAAATATCAAAGTTTTATATTATTACATAGCAGTGGTTCCCAACCTTAGGTAGCCCAGATGTTCTCGGACTGTAATTCCGAGAAGTCTTTACCACTAGCTCTGCTGAACAGAGTTTCTGGGAATTGCAGTCTGAGAACACCTGGGTTACCCAAGGTTGGGAACCACTGTTATATAGCAATGTATATACCAAGTGTTACTGCCTCTTTAGTGCAGGTTGAAACAAAAAAATGGACAAGAGAATTAACAGAAGCAGTCATCTTTATTGCTCAAATAAGGGTAATGGCACACCAGTAGAAGAGAATGGAGAGTTCCAATGATGATGGGGGGTGGCACATTGGATTTGCTCCATTTTTGCCACCTTCCTTGTCTTTTGTTGTCCATGTCTACATTTCTTTCTGAATCCTCTAGGTTTCAAGGCTTCTTTCTGAATTCCTCTAGGCTTTATTTTTGTGGTGGAAGTTTTAAACTGAAATACATTTCCTTTCTTTCCCCCTTTGTTAGCATTAACTTTCTTCTGACACAAGGGAGAGAAATGAAAAGGAGAGAGCTTTGCAAACACCTCGGATTCCCAGAAAGATGAACAAGTGGGTCCTAGAGCAAGTCACGCCTTTGGGAACAAAAATGATGAAACTGGACAAAATGATGAATAATATCATACTTTGGGTACGTCAGGAGAATGCAAGACTTTTTGGAAAGGATAGTAATAATGGGAAGGTGGAAGGCAGCTGGGAAAAAAGGAAGACCAAATGAAAGGTGGATTGACTCACTAAAGGAAGCTACATGCTTCACTTTACAACAGCTGAGCAAGTTTGTTGAGGACCGGACAGTTGGAGACTGCTCATTCATAGGGTCATCATAAATCAGAGGGAACTTGACAGCATGCAATAACATTAACAGAGGGTGTATATGCTATTATATACAGAATGAATAGTCTGCGGCTTCATATGATATCAAAGAAAGTACGTAAAGCATATGTATGATGAACAATTCTATTCAATTTCTTTAAAAAGAAGGAGCTTAAAATGCAGCAAAAACAAGATCTGGAAAATACAGTCAAAACCCAAATTTGATTTGCAGCTCATTCTTTTCTAGAACGCAGCCCTAAATTGCAACATCTAGAGCAGAATTTGCATGTTTGCAATAGAGATACAGATAGAGTGGCAAGAAGCTTGGCTAATTGTTAGCAAATGGATTAAAACAACATGTAATTATATTCCATTCATTGCAGAATAAGGTTTTATTCAACACTATACACAAAATGTGAAGACCTTATTAAAGAATCTTAAAGAAATTTTCCCCCGAACCTGGCTATAGCTGGATATAGAACAAAATGGAAACTTGGTTGCTCTTCTAAGAATAGAAGAGATAACACAACTATTGAAACTATGAAGAATGGAAAAGCCCCAGGCATAGACAGCTCTTCTGTCCAATGATATAAAATATATTCAGAAATTCTGATTCCAAGACCTTCTTGTTTGTATCAAAAATGTTTCAAAGCACACTTTTCCCCAATTTCTTTCTGAAGTCTTCCATTCTGTCATAGGTGTGCAAACTATAGACCTATCTTCCTACTAATGTTGACATTAAAACACTAAGTGTAATATCATTTAGTACATCCTCAAACATTATAAGAACATTGATTCATCCAGACCAAGATGGTTTTACACAACAAAAGCAGGGAGCAGATTATTCAAGATTCATTAGATTTGACTTCAGTGAGAACTAAAAGCTCTGATCCTGCTCTTATAATCTCACCTGATGATGAAAAAGCATTTGATAAAACTAATTGGCAGTTTATTTTTTATTATTTTGAAAGAATTGGATTTTCCACCTCAATTCTGAAATGCAATATTTCTCTTTTAGGTCAAGAAACACTGACCTAAAATAAGTATTTTTCCTCTAATATTCAATTTATGTTTGGAGCCACTGGCATGTGCAATGATGAAAAAAAAGGATATATGCATAAAAAACAAATACAAGATAATCTTATAGATCGATGATCTCTTCTTGTTTGCTAGCAAATTAAATTTTCTAAGCCAGAGCTTATAAAACTGATTGACATTTTAGCTACTCAATTAATTGATCTGAACCTGAGGTTAAACTTGTTGGGGCTGGTGTCTTATCTCGATTTTTCACAAACTGGCAGTTTCACCTAGTTTATTTAGACATATTAGAGCTTTAGGATGCTACTCAAATTATTACCATAATTCTATCAGTATTGTTGACTGTTTTTTTTAATTTGGACAGATGGACATCACTTAGATTAGATATTTGAAGTGAGGTAAATATAAAATGAATGTATTGCCACATACACTGTATGTGGACCAGCGTTCCTGCCTTTGGGGGAATCTTCTGTTATCTGCCATCCCTCAGGCACTGGGTGAGAGACAATGTCCTGGGGGAGTTTTTGGCCTGAACTCCCTTGGCCCTGCAGGACTGGGCCCGTTGCTCCTTGCTGCTTCAGGCTGCCCCACCCCATCCTCAACACCAGCCGCCTGGCTCGGAGGGGAGAGAGGCTTTATAAGTCAGAAGCTTGTGCTAGGGCCCTGCTGGACCAGTGTTCCTGCCTTCAGGGGAGTCTTCCATGTTTTCTATCGTCCCTCTGGCACTGAGTGAGAGACAGTGTCCTGGGGGAGTTTTTGGCCTGGACTCCCTTGGCCCTGCAGGACTGGGCCCTTGCTGCTTCAGGCTGCCCCACCCCATCCTCAACACCAGCCACCTGGCTTGGAGGGGAGAAGGGGCTTCAGAAGGGTGTGTGTGTGTGTTTTAATTGTTATTATTAATTGTCATCAGGTTGCATAGAAACCCACAGTGGAAATGAGGGAACAGGAAAGGGGGAAGGTGTTGGAGGGGGCAGCCATTGAAGTGGTGCTGGGTAGGGGAAGGAATGGTGGTGGGGGTAGAACATGCCCAAGTAGGAGAAGAGAGCTTAGATATCTTACATCTATCCTCTCTTCTAGTCCTACTGCCAACCAGATGGTATCAGGTAACCATATCAGAAACCCCTCAAGCCACAGGGTGCTGTTGATGAATGACAGGTCAGTACAAAATAAGACTGCCCTCATCCATGATGTAATTCTAGATGAGGGTACTGACCTGGCATGCATTACTGAGACCTGGGTGGGAGAGGAGAGTGGTGTTCCCTTCTCCCAGCTGTGTCCACCTGGGTACTCAGTCCAGCACCAATGTCACTCGGAGGGTCAGGGAGGGGGAGTTGCTACAGTCTATAGGAGTTCTACCTCCTTGACCAGGCTTCCTATCCCTTTGAAAGGAGGTCTTGAGGGCCTGTATTGTATGTTGGGCTTACAAGACAGATTAGGGATTCTGTTGGTGTACCGCCCACTCTGCTGCGCACCAACACTCTCCCTGCCTGAGCTGTCTTGGACCTGAAGTTGAGGACTCCCAGGCTGTTGGTGCTGGGGGACCTCAACATCCCTGCTGAGGCTGCCTTGACTGAGGCAGCTCAGGACTTCATGGCCACCATGACAACCAATGTGTCATCGGCCCGACACATGAGAAAGGCCATTGTGATGCCACTGTCATGGTCAGATCACTTCCTGGTCAAGTTTAGTCTATTAGCTTCTTCTTCCCTCTGCAAGGGTGGGGGATCCATTAAGATGATCCACCCTTGGAGACTAATGGATCCGAATGGTTTTCTGAATGCTCTGGGGGGGTTATCCGTCTGATATGGTCGGCGCTCCTGGAATAGGGAGATGACCCAGGCGGTTGACATGATTGCACCTAAGCATCCTCTCCCTGCACGCCGAGCCCAGACAGTTCCTTAGTATACTCCTGAACTGCAGGCGATGAAGCGAGAGGGGAGACGGCTGGAGCGCAGGTGGAGGAAGTCCTGCTGGGAGTCCGATCAAACACGCCCAATTCAAAGTGCTTGTTTTGACATATAAAGCCCTAAATGGCTTGGGCCCTGGATACCTGAGGGACTGCCTCCTTCCATATGAGCCTACCTGACAGTTAAGATCTAGCCAGGGGGCCCTTTTGAAAGAGCCGTCCCTCAAGGAGGTAAGAGTGACAGCTTGTTGACAAAGGGCCTTTTCGGCAGCTGCCCCCAGACTATGGATTGCTCTCCCAACTGAGATTCATCTGGCGCTGACGCTGATGACATTTCGGCGTCAGGTGAAAACCTTCCTGTTCCAGAAGGCTTTTAATTGAAATAACATCAACTGTGGGTCCTGATGGCAATTTTAGAGTATCTATTTTAATTGTATTTTAATTGTTTTATCTTTTATTGTATTTTAATTGTAATTTAATTGTTGTAAGCTACCCAGAAACCTTTGGGTAGAGTGGGCGGCATATAAGTTAAATTAATAACAATAACAATAACAAACAATAGCAACAGCAACAGCAACAGCAGCAACAACAACAATAATATTCTTTGTGCCATTCTATATTTTGCAAAATTATTTTCAGAAAATTAATTGTATTTATATGAGAGGCTTCATCTCTTCATTTTTCACTGAAGAAGATGGAATTGCCATTGTTGGAAGGTAGATTCAATTGCTCCTTTAGCTACACATGAACATTTATTCTGCCAGCTTCACACCACATCTTTTTTTGACACTTTGTCAGCTTACATTAATTTATATGCCTACCCCATTATGAAATGTTGTTTATCCCCCATCTTTTTTCTTTCCTTATCTTTTTTGTGTTTTTTTATTTATTCTCCTAACCCTTTCTTATCTTTCTTTTGGTTTGAAATAAATAAAATGATAAAGCAACAACCACAAGGCAGTAATGGAAGTTCTAAGGATTTAATATACAGCAACTGTCATTTGTGAAGCAAGATGCACATTATTTCTTTGTGAGAGCACCAATGCAGATAGATCTCAATAAGCTTACCTGTTGCAGATATATTGGCATCCAATTTTCACTTCCTTCCTCTGCTACTTCTAAAGTATATGTACTTCTGTTTGTGATCATAAAAAAAGGTGTGAAAGTCACTAATCTAGTGAGGTTAAAACTGCTGTTATCTATTTTGACACCAACCTAGGAAAGACAAAAATTGTTTAGAGTGGATCAATCTCACTACCTTTAACATGTGTTGACATTTGTTCAAGAAGAGTTACAGAAAGTGTAATTCACATTTATAAAATACTTTGTATCTGTACAGAAGACCCATGCGAACATCTCTGTTCCTACATGAGTTTACTTGAATATAAATATAAGAAACTTATACACCAAGCTAGTTCCAAGCCCAGATAATAGCAAATTCTGTCTGTCTGTCTGTCTATCTATTACTAGATTATATACAAAAATATAAAAATAATGGTAAAAGGGAAAGACCCAGAAATATTATTTTCAAATGTATTGCTAGAACTGGCACAAGAGACCATTCTATGTGTTTTTCACTAACAATTATTCATAGCGTAGTCTCTGGCTTCCTCTAGTGGCTGCATCTGATAATGAATGTGAAAATAGTTTTTCTGGATTTTTTCTTTAAACATTTTTAGTATTTTCAAACTGCAGATACTGATCCTGCGGATATGGGGATCCTACATTGCTGTCTACACTGGTTGGCAGTAGCTACCCAGGATTTTGAAAAGATGCCATTTCTAGTGATTTCTGATTATGCTAAAAATCAGATCTCAGACACTCTGCATCAAATGTATGTTATCATCCACAGCAAATGATTCCTTTAAACTTCCTTTCCACATAGATCGGTAACTACTATGTAGTTAAAATGTCTAAGTAGCAACTTTCTTATTCATTAAAACATGCTTCTGCATGTTCTGGACAATAATTTTATGGCTATCCCACTTTACAGTGACTCTTCCATTACTAGTGTTTGAAAAACAAATGAATGTTGTTCTTGTCTCATAATTCACCTATAAACTATTGACTTTGTCAGCTATTTTATTGGCTAATTCTCAAAATCTTTATCTCCTTTTCAGCAAACAGGCTACTCTTGCTTGGACATAATGGATAGTTGCTCAGTTGTGTTTATTAGGAAAACTTAAAACATTGTACAACTAAGTTATTTTTAATTACAATTTGGTCTGGAATACTTAGAAACAATAATAGAATGAAATGAAGTGCAGAGAATGTATTGATTTGGCTGTACCTTAATACTGCAGGTAGACATGTCAGAATTATCTCACAAAACATATATGTGTATTAGAGAACTGAACTCACTTGGTATTCCTTTTTGTGGCTCTTACATTTAACAAAACCATGACTGCCAACAGTATCCAGAGAAAACTGATCAGAAAGGTCGCTGTCTGTCACCATAAGCTGAACCTGTAAGAAGAAAACTGTTATGTTGTTTTCATTACTAGCAAAATTAAAAACAAAGAAATATTGACCATCATGTGGGAGATGAACAGTAAACAGCAATAAATGAGACCCATGAAGCAAATGGGAAAACCCTTGTTCCATGCTCCAGGCATCCACCTGCTGCTTAATAAGGTTCTATCTACCCTTCATATACACAGAAATTCAGCATTTTGTAACTACTGAACATGGGCAGTCTTTATTGGGCTGCTGGGGGGGGGGCTTTCAGTTTTTTACAATTTTTGTGTACTTCTGCAAACCTTGCTTCTCATTAGCTCTGTTTTAGCTGTCACTATCTGTTTATTATGCATAATTACTGTCTACCAAATGCAAGACAAGAAAAATGCTGTCTTCAACATCATATTATAGTTAATGAACAAACTTTATTTCACTCAGAGCAATGTGGGATAGAATAATAATGCATTAACTAATGATATTATTTTCAATATTCCTACTATCTTGTCTAGCGGTTCGAAAGCATGCAAATGCAAGTAGATAAATAGGGGCCACCTTGGTGGGAAGGTAACAGCGTTCCGTGTCTAAGTCGCACTGGCCGTGTGACCACGGAAGATTGTCTTTGGACAAACCCCTGGCTCTATGGCTTAGAAACGGGGATGAGCACTGCCCCCTAGAGTCGAACACGACTGGACAAAAATTGTCAAGGGGAACCTTTACCTTTAGCTTACTATCTTGTAAAAGCCTCCCCACACCAATTGTTACAAAGATCTAATAATAATTGTTTGGAGAAATACATTATATTACGCCAACAACCGCAACATCCCACCACATTGATTCCGACCATTTCCAGAGTTTTCTAGATAGACAGTACAAAAAATAATTTACCATTCCCTTCCTCTGTGGGTACCCTGGTACTGTATAGCTTGCCCAAGGCCACACAGGCTGGATCTTCTCCCATGAGGCAAAGTGAGGAATAGAACGCTCAGCCTCTACAGCCACAAACTTAAACCACTGAGTTATTCAATCAGCTATTACCTCCAATACATTGTTTAATCAAAATTATAAGCAAAAATGCTCATACTTCCATGAACAGTTAGACACATAAACAATTAACAGATTTTGCACAAACCAATAGCGAAATTAATTCTGATTCCATTGATATTTAATTTTCTGAGACATACCTTGTTATCATGGTAAAAGTGTTTCGGCTGGAACGAAAATAGAAGTGGCATTTTGCAATCAGGTGGATGTTTGCGGTGGATGCCATCAGCCTTGTACTGTAACATTCGACCAGTCTTATTTATCATCCAATATGGACTGTGAACTGCTATAATCAATTGTCCTGTGGTATAGGTTACATGTACAGCAATATCCAAATCTGTTCTGTCAACGTCTGTAGTGCATGAAAATGTGATGAAACTAATTTCTTGCTGATTTGTTTGAATGTGATACTCAGCAGTCCAATCTTTCTCAAGATAATTATGTAAATGTAGTTGCAGTTTGCTCTGATCCAGTACTGCACTATGAATTTGAGCTGAACATCCATCTTCTAGAGTTTTGGCTGTTGTACTGTCTCCCTTTGAAGGAAAGATTTCGCACAATCAAAACTTACAATCAATGCAACCCGTAGTTCAAGAAACAAAACAAATATGGAAGTGATAAATCATTTATCAAGCAATGCAACTATTATTAAGAACAATAATCTCAATGATATGGTGTCCATGCTTGTGGCTATATCCAGGACTAACATTTGGATCACAATGGCCAAATCCTGTTGTCAGCATAGTAAATTGCACTACAGTAGGCCCACTGAACAAATGAGGATTTACAACTAATCATTTACTCATTGACTCACACATAAATGCCTCCAAATTCAGTGAACACACTGATGCTTAATGCAGTAGGTTGCTGTTAGAGTAGGCCCGTTTGAATCAGTAGTACATATGGAGGAAATGCCTCCCCAAATCCCCATTTGGTGAGGCACTACTCTAGTGTGATTTACTACTGTATACTAAGCAAGAGAATTTTGCCCACTATTTCCCCCCCTAATAAAAAGATTTTAAATATAAACTTTCCTGGTCCTCCAATTTTATCAATGTGAGCGTATTCCAATATATTTTTACAACTGGAAATAAATTCAAATACTTGTCCTATAGGTTAAAAAACAAGGTTTGCAACAGACTCATTTTGGAAATGAAGTCAAACTCCAGGATGGCATACTAATAGCTAATAATGATTAAATATGTAAATATAGGATAGGAACAATCTGGCTAGATAGCAGAGCCAACTGAGAAACTAATTCCAAGATCAGTTTTGTGCCTTCTGCAATTTAAAACCTAAACAGAATACACTAAATATATTCTGATTGTGACGTCACCACCATTTTGAGGACCATCAGCATGTGTAATATTTATGGAACGCACAGCATAAGTATATTTACAATGATAAATTTATATTTTTATTTTATATTTACAATAAAATTTGAACCCAGATCCCCAAACGTACCTCTAAAGAATAGGTGATCTGATATGGAAGAAGATTACGGAGAAGAATGGAAGGCCATAAATGAACAACATATGGTAAATCCCACTGATCATCAGTGCAAGCTGAAGATATCAAAGTATCTTGCATTGGAACGATGTTGATGATAAGTGGATGTTTAGCTGATTTGAGGGGCTGACATTGCTTTTGCAACACTTTGTCAAAATTCTTAGCCATTTCATCAAAGCTGATTCCTCCACTTGCTGCATACTCTCCAGAAATTTCATTTTCATCCATTACTGGTCGAAAAAACAGTAGTGACCTGTAAATGAACACACCAATCACTACAATCTGTATCTTGCTTTTGTTTGGTCAAAAATATTCAATATAAAATCCACAAACACAGCAAAATGTCTCCCATTAGAAGTCTGTTAAACAAGTCTTGACTATATAGCCAGACACTGAAATATATGTTGGTTTGCTGGTGTTGGAGAGGCTTTATCCAAAACAAGTCTTGCACATACAGAAAGTGACCCCTATTTAATTTTTCTCATTTCCCAAATGTACTGGAACTTTCTGTGTCCCATCAGATGCTATTCTAGAGGATCCATCAATCCTTAGGAGTGGTTTGGAGACAAGCCACAAAGAGTTTCAGGAGTCAGGAGAGCCAAGCTACATAACTGGAGTTTCATTCGTCTCCAACCTGTAGCTCTCTAAAATTTTAGATTTCAACTCACAATATCCTACACTGGGATTCTGAACAGATTCATCCAACACCTTTATCTAATCGTGCAATTCTCATGCTTTTTTGTAACCTTAGCTGTTAGTGAAACAAAACAAAACAACTCTTTATAGATACAATATTGTGGCCCTGTGCAGCTGCTACCTTACTTGTAATTTCAAGATTACTTTAGTTACTCTTTGGATAGCTTGATTCTATCCATTCAAATACAGTGGTGCCTCACTTAACGATGTTAATTGGTTCCATAAAAAAAATCGTTATGTGAAAACATCGTTAAGTGAAACACCATTTCCCATAGGAATGCATTGAAAACCGGTTAATCCGTTCCAATTGGAACAGATTAACGCTTGCAATCATTAGCCCACCTCCTGAAACCTATGCAAACTTAATTTGGTGTTGTTCTGAGTCGTCGTTAATTTTTGGTGATATTTTTATTCTCCATTGAAAGCCTTTGAACGGACCATTCAAAGGCTTTCAATGGAGAATTTAAAAAATCACCAAAAATTAACAACGACTCAGAACAACACCAAATTAAGTTTGCATAGGGTTCAGGAGGTGGGCTAACGATTGCAAGCATTTAAAACAGGTTTCTAACAGTTTAAGACACTTTTACAGGAGCGAAAAAGGGACATCGTTAAGTGAAATTCCCCCATAGAGAACATCGTTAAACGATGGGGGAAATTCCTCAAAGAAACCCATTGCTGTGTGAATTCATCGTTGTATGAAGCAATCGTTGTGCGAGGCACCACTGTATACTTATGCATTGAAAAAGAGTGGAAACCCTACAGTATCACTGATGAAAGACTGGAGGGACTTATAAGGGTTGCAATATTGCATTTGTCATAAAGCACTGTGCTAAATATGTTGCTGATTTTGAAATCTAGGGGCTCATCCAAACTGCAGCTTAAAACATTTGTCCTGACTGCCCACAGATCTTTTCATTCAGCCTGGTGGTTAGGATTACACAGATGTAGCGATACATTTTATACTGATATTATACAGTATACTGCAATATCTTTGATAGGCAAATAGCTAATGAGGTTTCCAGTGACATGAAATGGGGGACAATCTATCCTCTTTTGCTTCCCAGTAGTATTATTTCCTAAAGTTTAACTATGTACTTTTAAAATTTACATTTAATGTTATTTTTTTTGCTGTGAGATTGTTAGACAGCACAGAATGAAGTGATTTAGTGTTGAACTGTTAATTCTTACTTATCTAACACGGGTTTTGTTATAATAATAGAACATCACACACACCTCCAATTGGCTATCAAAACAATTTTACATTTTTTTTAAAAATTGGAAGCACAGAAAGAGGCTTGTCTAAGCACAGAATGGAGCAAGAACGAAAGGGGCTCTTTTTTTTTTAAGATTCACTGGCAAACCTGTTGCCCACTATTTGTAATTGTAACACTAACTTGGTAGACTACAAGGAATGAATCGTTTAGCAATTAGATTGGTCAGAAAGTATTTTTTTTTTAAAAGGACTTGCTGTAAATAATGATATGCAATGACAAAAAAATACTGATTATTCCCAAAACTGTAATATGAAGTGATTTATGAGTCAGGGCTGAGGTACAGAGAAGCAAAGTAAAATGGTCTCAAAGACAGTGAAAAGGCAATGAATAGGGCAGAGAAATTGGTGGAAGAAGAGGAAACATGACAAGGATTGGGGGGATGAGGGACATTGTGAGCCCCTCACATTGTGAGCAAAAAGCAGCACGCTTTTTGCTTTGCTTTGATTGGACAGGGGCTCTGGAGTGCCCTGGCATGGATGTACAGGAAAAAAAACAGTGCCATTAGGAATTCCGAAGAAATGGAAAGAAGTGGTATAGGAATTGCTCAAATCACCCAGCCTTATGAGGAACTCCGTATAAATAGAAAAAAATGATTGCTAAATGGAAGACAATTCTCATTCACAGGAGCAGTACTTTTTGTTATATTTGTTCCATCAGAGTACAGTGGTGTCCCGCTTGATGACGATAATCCATTCCAGGAAAATCGCTGTTAAGCGAAATCGTCGTTAAGTGGGGGAAAAAAACTACTGGAATGCATTGAAAACCGGTCAATGCATTCCAATGGGGAAATAACTCATCGTCCAGCAAAGATCACCCATAGAGAACCGCTGATCAGCTGTTTAAAATCGCTATCTTCCAAAGCAGGAGTCCGGAAACAGCCATTTTGCTAAGGGAGGGAAGCCATTTTATGAAGGGAAGCCATTTTGTGGAGCCAGAAAAATCATCGTTTAGCGAACAAACGGTTCACAAAGCAGGCTCCTAATCGACGTCAAGTGAAAAAAACCATTGGAACCATCGTTTTGTGATTGCAATAGCGATCGCAAAAAACTCATTGTAAAGCGATTTCGTCGTCTAATGGGGTCATCATCAAGTGGGGCACCACTGTATGTTACAGCTGGCAGAACAGATGTCACTTCTTGTCATGTTGCTTTTCCTTTATTAGTTCAAGTTACATTCACCCACATAACTGTTCTAGCGTAAGTTAAGTAACCCATTCCAAATACTCCACTGGTATGCACTCAGAAAACACTCTGACAGATTGAAAAAAAGAAAAAAAGGAGAACAACATGAAAGTGGAATAAAGTTCAGGAGAAACACACAGTTCAGGCACGCTGTGTTTGGAAGTAATGAACTTTTAGTTTTAATTTTAAATGACATAATATGTGAGACAATGTAACAATAAACATTTAATCTACCTGCAGATTATTTAAGAAAAGCTCACAACTGTATCAATTTACAAACTTCATTTAATTATGGTCTTTCACTGTTTATGAAACACATCATAAAGAATTTTTTAAACAAGAAAAGAAGTATCACCTGTAAGAAGTCAGTGGTATGCTAAATTCATCCTCTGGTAAAGCTGTTCCTAAACATTTTCCATCTTCAAATATACTCAGTGGTATTGAGAAGTGATTCTTTATCTATGTGGAAAAATCAAATTTATTTAATTATTCATCGATTTCTACCCCACCCCCTAGACAGTGTCTACTCGGGGCGGCTTACAAAATCATAAAATATCATAAAATGACAATAAAACATGACAATCAAAGTAAACGACATTCATAATCATAAAAACATAAAAATGTCTACAGATATACAGCAACAAAAATTTTAAAATCTTACACATTTTCACACTATAAGCAGGAAAAAATCCCATTATGTTCAGATCTCATATATAATTAATATTCTGATATTCTCTCTGTAACAGATCTTCCAGGTTATATTGGCCAGACTGGAAGACCTGTTACACAGAGAACATCAGAATATTCATTATAAATTAGATTATTACAGCTTGAAAAATCTGGACTGGCAGAGCATTGTATCAGAAATGGTCATCAGCCCCAATGGAATGGGGTACAAGTATTGGCCAAAACCAGTCAATTCAGGGACAGAATTGTTATTGAGGCTCTCTTGATAAAACCTGAGCCACATTTCATCAACAGAGATAGTGGTGTTACTTTTAGTGCTTGCTGGAAGCCTTTGTTTTGTAAACTCGATTGACTTGGCAGATTGCTGGTCAACATAGGGGGCTTGCTCTCTAATGTTAACTTGCCTGAGTTTGGTCTGAATGTCCACACAGCTAGTTTTGATTGCATCTGGGGGTATTTAAGGTTATCTTTGTTTAAGTTGGTATCTTGCATTCCCTGACGAAGATGGCGCAGGATATTGTCATCAAATGCTTGGACTATTTTAACAACAAATATGAATTGACCTGACTGGAAACTTGTGGGCTATTTACACAAAGTATCTGGCATGAAAGACTGAGATTTCTAATTATTTACTTGTGTTCTTATATTGGCTTTAATTCTGAAGTTTTTCTCACATCTGGCATAGTTACCCTTTACATGCAGCTCCTTCCTGTCCAGTCCTCAAATGGAGGACCCATAAAAATTATATTTAGAAAATTACATATTAAGTATTCCTGCATATGGTTCTTGATGTTCAGACACTACTCCAAGAGAAAGATATTAAATAGATTAATAATAATTATGTGCCATCAAGTCAACTCTGACCTATGGTGACCCTTTTCAGGGTATTCAAGGTAGAGAATACAGTGGTGCCCCGCTTGACCATTATCCCGCTCCACGACAAATCCACTTTACGATGAGGTTTTTGCGATCACTATTGCGATCGCAAAACAATGTTTAAATGGGGAAAATTCACTTTACGATGATCGGTTCCCTGCTTTGGGAACCGATTCTTCGCCAAACGATGATTTTAAAACAGCTAATTGGCGGCTCTCAAAATGACCGCCCGCTGTACAAAATGGCTCCCTGCTGTGTTTAGGACGGATTCCTCGATTAACAGGCACTGGAAAATGGCCGCCCTATGGAGGATCTTCGCTGCACGATGAGGTATTTCACCCATTGGAACGCATTGGGCCGTAGACATGATTGCTTCCAAACGCCCTCTCTGTTGCAGAGCTCAGCCAGGGTCTTGGTATAACCGGGACCTACGAGCAATGAAGCGAATCAGGAGATGGCTAGAGTGCATTTGGAGGGTGGAACCGATGGATTATAACAAGATAGCTGTCAGGATCGCAACTAACCATTAACCTAGCTAAGGTAAGGGCTGGGAAATGATCTCACTTCACTGACCAGATAAGCAAAGCTTCTAATCATAATCCTTGACTTCTTTCAGCCTGTGACGCCAGATTTGGTGAACAAAGTGCCTGATCGTCGACCACGGTCTTCCTGGGGAGGCTCTCTGAGTTGGGTATCGGTGGCCTGGCACTTGCCTGGCTCCCATCCTTCTTGGAGGACCGTCCCCAGAGAGTACAGCTTGGCGAGAATGTTTCGACCTTATGGAGCCTCAATCGTGGGGTTCTGCATGGGTCGATCATCTCTCCAATGGTGTTTAACATCTACATGAAGCTGCTGGGAGGGGCCATCAGGGGGTGTGGGGCATCGTGTCATCAGTATGCTGATTACACACAGCTCTACATCTCTTTTTCACCTACTTCAGTGGATGCCGTTCCATCCCTTCAGCGCTGCCTGGAGACTGTACTGGAATGGATGCAGTTGAATGTGTTGAGGCTGAACCCGGACAAGACGGAGGTCTTGAGGGTGGATGGTCCTTCCATCATCGGTTTGGGTGATTCAATTTCTTTTGGGGGGTCGACCCTCATCGCAAACAGCATGGTTCGCAGCTTGGGGATACATCTGGACCCGGCGCTTACCATGGAAACTCATATAGTGTCCGTAGTCCGTTCCGCCTATTTTCACCTGTGGTGAATTGCCCAGCTGTGACCATATCTTGATGGGGGGGTCACTACTCTTGTCCATGCGCTCGTAATCTCGAGATTAGACCATTGTAATGCACTCTATGTGGGGCTGCCTTTGGGATTGATGCAGAAACTCCAAATGGTGCAAAATGTGGCAGCCAGGCTCCTTAGTGGGGTGAGGAAATATCAGCACCACCCTGGCTGCTTTGCACTGGTTGCCCATTCGTTTTCGCATTGATTTCAAAGTTCTAATCATGATGTATAAAGCCCTAAACGGTTTGGGACCTCGATACCTGGCAAATCGCCTTCTCCCACCCAGGTCTACTCGAATCACCCGACAAAACCAGCAGGGATGGCTGAGGGGCCTTACGCCGAGAAAGGCCTGGAAGGAAAGAACAAGAAACCGGGCCTTCTCGGCAGTGGCCCCTTGGCTGTGGAATACTTTACCAAATCCGCCTGGCTCCCTCGCTGGGCGTTTTTAAAAGCCATTTAAAAACTTGGCTCTTTAGGCAGGCCTTCCCTTTAGTCAATTAATTGATCTGTGTTTTTCAATTATTCCATCTTGCTAATGTATATATGTATAAGTTAGTAGGTTTTTTATAATGTATTATTATGTATGTTATTTTATTATATTTTATTACCTATGTAAGCCGCCCCAAGTAGACTTTGTCTAGAGGGGCGGGGTGTAAGTCTAAATAAAGTAAAGTATTGAACTGGTTTTCAAAGCATTTCAATGGGTTTTTTTACTTTCGCTTGATGACAATTTCGTTCTACAGCGATTTTGCTGGAATGGATTATCGTTGTCAAACGAGGCACCACTGTACTCAGAAGCGATTTACTGTTTCCTTGGGGGGGGGCGCTGGGACTATGCAGCTTGCCCATGACCACACTGGCTGGCTCTACTTGCAGGAGGCACAGTGGGGAATCAAGCTTGGATTAGGCTTCCAACTTGCTGTCTCTCCCCCCACCCCTACTCCAGTTTTTTGGTAGATTATATTTTTATTCCTTATCTTCCCATAAACAAGATGTAGTTTAAGAAAGTCTCCCTTTTTTCAGTTATACTATAGTGCTCTTTAATTAGTAAAATCAATAATTTCCCAACATGTTGTGTATGTGCATATACAGAAAGAATGAGCTTTTTCTTTTTGTAAGGGAGAAAAAAGTACTGGTCTTCAAATAACCAAAACAGCAGCAAGATACTGTATTTTATGTAACATCCACTTATGAATCAGTAACACTTTAAGCAAAATACCTTACCTGAATAGGAGAACGTACTGTTATTATCTTGCTCCCTTCAAGGGTATCTATTTGACAAACTATAGATCTCACAACACCTGAGTCATTGTGTCTTACTCTGTAGAGACTTCGTCCCACTTTCGTCAGTGGTATCTTGTCAGTACTAGAATGATTTTGAGGAGCTAGAAATCAAAGACATTGAATTTTAAAAAGTGAACTACCTACCCATCTTATCATATCAAATGCCCTTTTTACCACTGCATTTGCTAAGAAAATATTTACAGCAGTTCTAGTTCTATACAATTTATGTGATATCCTTATCAATGAAAAGAGAGCAGCTCTGCTATATTCCTCTCTGTGTGCATGCATGTCTATTAAAAGCAATAGGGTGCATCCACACCTGCTCTTGAGAGAAGTGTGCACTGCTTTCAAATTGTTAGACATTTAAGTGCAAAAAACTCAATGAAATTTTTTTTCTCTAAGAAGAAGGGCTAGGTTTATTAAATTTGAATCCTGGCTGTGATAAAGAGAACTAGAGTTGAACATCAGTTTACTCACCTGTAATTGTAGTTCTTCAAGTGGACCTCTGTGAATCACACTGTGGGTGACTAGCAAGCTGTCTTACCCGTAGGTGGGGTGTCATGCCAAGGGGAAGCCAAAACAGCACGTCCAAATGCCACATCAGAACATCGAACATCTAGTCTATAATGTCGGACAAGGGTAGATGGTTGTGCCCACAGACACAGATGTCAGGGAGAGGCACGCCATGAAGGAATGCTGTAGAGGCTATCAACGCCCTGGTGAACTGAGGGCGAATAGCTTGAGAGACCGGCTGTTGAGCAAACTGGTATGCAAGCCGAACAGTAGAGGCAACCCAGCAAGAGATCGTCTGGGAGATGACTTGTAGGCCTTTGTTAGGAAGTTGATAACTGACAAAAAGGCATGAGGAACGTCAAAAGGGTTGCATTCGTGACAAAATAAATGGAGAGGGTCCTCCTGATGTCCAAAGTATGAAGAAGTCATTCATGGGTTGTGGATGGTGATGGAAAGAAAGATAGGAGGACCAGTGGTTGAGAGAGATGAAATTGAGACACCACTTTAGGGGGGAAGGAGACATCGAGGGACAGCTTTACTTTGTCAGGATAGAACTGTATATAAGGACAATCATGGTGTAGGGCCCTAAGGTTACTTGCTTGGCAAGCTGAAGTAATTGCAACAAGCAAGGCCGTTTTGAAGGGAAATAGACGGAGATCCACTGAGGCTAGAGGCTCGAACGGAGGTTTAGTGAGTTGTTGCAAGACTAAAGTCAAGGACCATTGTGGAGAGGGCAAGTGAACATCTGGGTAAGCATGTGACAATCTACTTAAGAAAACGCTTGAGCGTGGGATGTCTGAAAAATCGAGCTGCTGGAAAAGTCATTGGTTGGTACGAGACGACTGCCGAGAGATAGCCTCTGATAGACGAGAGAGAAAGACCAGAAGATTTGAGATGGAGCAAATATCGAAGAACCGTGGAGAGATATGGGATGACGGCAGGAAGGGAAAGTGCTGCAGTAAAAGACTGAAATCTTTTACAATTTATACAGGTAAGCTTTCCTAGTGGAGGACTTATTTGCTTGACGGAGAAATCCATCAAGGAGGGAGAATCATCCACGCTGCCAGATGCAGAGCAGGTAAGTTGGGATGAAGGATCCGGGAACTGTTTTGCATGAGGGAGTGAGGTAGGTGGGGGAGGTGATAAGACGTCAGAGGATAGGTGCCTCGGCCATCAAGGAGCAATGAGGATGGTGTTGGGTTTGTCCTGTTGTATTCGGACAATTACCATGTGGAGGAGCAGGAATGGTGGGAAGAGTTATGTGAGGGTCTTGGGCCAGGGGACAACGAACACGTCTCCTTGGGAGTGTTTGCCGATCCTGGTACGAGAGCAATAGCACTTGCATTTCTTATTGTTGCACTAAGTAAAAAGGTCGAGTTGGTTTCCCCCATCTTTTGCACAGGTGGAGGAATTCTTTTGCACAGGTGGAGGAATTTTATGTGATCTAATTCCCACTTGTGGGGTTGTGAGTTTGTGTGACTGAGAGAATTGGCTAGGTTTTTGTCCTGACTTGCGATGTGCAGAGCTGTGAGGCAGATGTGGTACAAGAGGCACCATCCACATAGGTCGACCACCAAATAGAGGAGGATTGGGGAATGTGTGCCTCCTTGTTTGAGAATATAGTACATGGCTGTGGTGTTGTCGGTGGCAATCTGGACCACCTTGCCAGCTAGGACGTTCCTGAATGCTTTGCATGCCTTTATCATCACTAAAAGTTCCAACTTGTAGATGTGGAATGAACGTTCTCTGCGGGACCAATTGGCATGTATTTTGAGACAGCTGTAATGTGCTCTCCAGCCGGTAAGGCTGGTGTTGGTTGTGATCTGTATTTGAGGATGTGGTTGTTGGAAATGGCGTCCCATAGCGAGATTTGGGACGAAGCACCGCCATTGGAATTGTGAGGCGAGTTCAGGAGTAACTCTTAAAAGAGTGTTGGGAGGATCTGTCAGTGGGTCTAAAAATGTGAGGAACCATGACAGTAGAGACCTTATCTTCAGGTGTACGTGTTGTACGCCTGAGGTCATGGAGGCCATGGTACCTAGTACACATTGGATGAGGATGGCAGGAACCAAGGCATGGGGGGGAGTGAAACCCTGGAGGACGGAGATGAGGTTTTGTTGTTTCTCAAGCAGGAGGAATACGCAAGCTTGGGTGGAGTCTATGGAAGCTCCAATGTAATTAATAACCCTTGTAGGGCTCATTTTGGATTTTTTCATGTTGACTGTGAGATCGAGATTGCAAAGGAGGGATAAGGTGAAAAGGGTGTCTCGGAGAGCCTTATGGCGGGAACAAGCTACAACGAGCCAGTAGTCTATGTATGGGAAGACGAGGATCTTTTGACATCTGAGGAAGGCAGCCACTGGGCCATGCACTTGGTCAAGACTCTGGGAGCTGTTGCAAGTCCGAAAGGAAGTCTTTTGAATTGGTAAGCTTGGGGCCTGAGTTGGAATCGAAGAAACTGTCTGTGGGAGGGGTGGATGGAGATATGGAAGCATGCATCTCGTAGATCTATGACTATGAACCAGTCTTTTCTGAGAAGAGATAGAACGGAATTGAGGGTTACCATATGGAATTTTGTGGTGATGGCATATTGATTGAGTTCTCTGAGGTCTAGAATAGGTCTTAAACCTCCATCTTTTTTGGTGACTATGAAATAACGAGAGAAAAAACAGTTGCTTTTTGTTGTATAGATTCTATTGCATCCTTGATGAGCAATTTTTTAAATCTCTTCTTGTGGAGTTTGGGACGGTGGAGTGATGATGTGATGCGACAGAGGGAGTTGATGGAAATGGATGCAGTATCTGTTTTGGACAATGGAAAGAACCCAGGTGTTCATGGTGATGGACTGCCAGGCAGGTAAGTGTTTCCAGAGGAAAGGGGGTTGATTTGCAATCTCAGTTGGAAAAATGTCAAATATGATGTTTGGATTTGCAGTCATTGCACCTTTGGATAGGTTGCTGGCAAGGTTTTTCTTTGTATTGTTGTTTAAGGTTGTAGAGGTTCTGATGTTGGGATTTGTATTGGAACCTCTGGTAGGAATTGTAAGGTCCATCCATTGATTGCATTGGGGGCACTGTTGATAAACACCTCATCTTTTGGCAGCGGAATGCTTCTTCTGAATGTTTTCTAGGATGTCATCAGTTTCAGCATTAAAGAGACCAGTGCCATCAAATGGGAGCTCCTCACTACAATACGTTCTTGGGCATCTTCCGTGAGGCCAGCTGTTTTTAGGCAGGAGAAACATCCAAGCGCGACAGAAATAGCCATGGATTTAGCCGTGGTGTCTACCGTGTGTTTAGCAGAGAACATTTGCTGTTTGGCAACAGAGAGACCCTCCTGTTGGAAGGTTTGTGCTAATACTTTTTTGTCTTCTGGTAAAGAATCAAGAAAAGTGGCCATGTTATCCCAAAGGAAGCACTGATATGCTCCAATAGCTCCTTGGTAGTTAGCTACCCTCATAGTAAAAGCCGCTGATGAGTAAAGCCACCTGCCCATAGAGTCGATTCTTCGACTGTCTTTGTTATGTGGGATAAGGGACTGTCGGTTTCAAGGTCGGGATTGTGAGGCCTTGACAAATATCAAATTTGGGGCCAGCTGTTTCTGGAGAACAAGTGCTCCAGGGTCGTGTATCTGATAGAGATTATTGATTCTTTTTGAGACTGAATGAGAGAAGGCTGGTTTAGTCCAAGATCGCTGAGCGGTGCTAAGAAGAGATTGTAGTATGGAAATATGTACTGGGGTAAGTTGTGTTGCTGGAAATAGGATCATAAAGCTGATCCGCCGGTTCGGCTGTGGGGCAATGGATTTGAAGATCCAGTGACTTAGCCATGCAGATCATGAGTTGAATGTAAGTTTGAAAATCTTCTGCTCAGGATGGAGGATCAACATCTGCGAGGTCAGAATCTGGCAATGTGAGAAGCACAGATGGTGTTTGTGGTCAAGAACCATGTTCTGTGATGTAAGGATCAAGCCTGGAGTCGATAGAACGTTGATCAACTTCAGTGTCAGAGGATGTTGATCATAGTAATGTTGATGGTGGTCTGCCACTGAAGAGTGTGGCATGTCCATGGACATTTGTCAACGTCGAGAGTTGTCAACCAGTATCAATGTCGAAAGTGTGTCCATAGATGGAGGTAAATGAAATGGGATCTCGGTGTCGAGGTCTGAGTCTCAATATTGACGGACATGTCTCGGCTAGTGCAGTTGTTGAGGGCTAGCAACCAAAAAAGATCAAAGTGGAGCATCCATGGACCAGGATGGATATAAAAGGTCATCAATATTGGAACCAGTGTCTCTATGGTGTTGAAAAGGCGGCTGAGGCCGATTTGGTGGACACATAGGTAGGTCTGTAGAGTAAATCAAGGGTGGGGATGCTGAGCGAGAGGAGTGATTTCCATGATTGTGAGTTGTAAAATAATTAGTCACGGGGGCTGCAAATGCTTTGCAGGTGGAAGCGTGTTTCTTGACTGCCCTGATTTTTGCCAGTGGTTGATAGTCATATGATGGCTGCGTGCCTCTAAGTGAAAAGACCTCTTCAACACAAAGGTTGTTGAAATGGAGGTTTGTGACGCGATGCTAATACTGGGCTGGAAGAGGTGGCCAATTGAGTAACCGCAGCTGGCAGGTCAGAGAAGCACTGATTGGGGCAAATTGCCTCATATGATGGATGCGCCTGACAGCACGCTGGTGTCCTTAGAGGCCGGCCCAATGACATGGAATAGGGCACTGTGTCCAGATGACGTTCAGGTTCCTCTCTCTCTGGGGAGACATCAGTGGATGGATTAGGAGGAGAGATAGAGTGCTGGGGACTATCAGGCGAGGAAGTAAGACAGTCTACTCGCTCGCCCCATGTCTGTGACTGAGAAACCGGTTGATGAGATGGAAGTCCATCATCATCAGAGGGTGAAGCTACAGAAATTAAATCCCCAGGTTCGGAAACCTGCTGTGGAGGGACTGCCGAGGTCTCTGATTTGGTTTGTTTAGATCGGTTCAGTTGCGGAGGACTGGGAATTGGACTGGAAGGAGGCCTATACTTTTTGGAAGGCTTTGATGTCAAAGTTTTTGATGTCAGCTGTTTAGAACTGTGCATCTTAGAAGTTTTTGATGAAGTGGAAGGAGCATCAGAGTGAGATGCAGTAACAGAGAAATGATTTTTCGATGATTCTGCAATGGCTTTTTCCATGGCTTTGGCTTGTGAGGTGGTTTTACACACAGATTGAGCCATAGGTTTTGCCAGTTGCAAAGACTGTTCCCAGAGGCTGAGTTCTGAGTCGAGATAGGCGGGAACAGAGGACTCCTCGTTTGAAATTTTTACAGTGAGGGAACAAGGTTTGATGCACCTCGCCTAAACAAAAAAGGCACTTTGCATGACCATCCGATAGCGGGATCCTGTTATCGCAAATCACGCAGTGCTTGAACAGGCCCAAAGGGGCCATGAACAATAAAGGGAAGAAAAAGAAAAATTGGAGGGACGGGAGGGTGCAACGGCCAGAGGCTGAGGCATGGAGGAGAAAAACTAAAAACAGTATATGTATCTTTGATTACTAATAAAGAGAAAAAGATTTTTTAAGTTCAGCAGTAAAAATGACTTGTTTCACTTTCTGACTCACTGAAGATAGAAGTAAGAGGCTCATCAAAGCGGCAGTTGAAAGAAACTGAAGGGAGAGTCCTGGCACCAAGGTATTTATACCGAGGGGGAGGGGTCTATTCTAATGTGTTTTTTGCTACCACAGAAGCTCTAGAATATTCCGAAGAGGTTCCGTGCAGGCGCGTATCACCCAGAATGCAATTCACAGAGGCCACGAAGAACCATTTTTCTCTCTGTTTATTTTTCAAAACAAATGCCCCACCCACAGCTGCTATGAGTTCCCATTCACTTTTATTCAAACTGGACTGTCAACTGCTTTTAGAGGAGTATAAATCAGGAGAGTCAATCACAAGTCTTCTACTATGGGCTTTCCGTGCAGGCGCATATCACCCAGAATGCGATTCACAGAGGCCACGAAGAACCATTTTTCTCTCTGTTTATTTTTCAAAACAAATGCCCCACCCACAGCTGCTATGAGTTCCCATTCACTTTTATTCAAACTGGACTGTCAACTGCTTTTAGAGGAGTATAAATCAGGAGAGTCAATCACAAGTCTTCTACTATGGGCTCATGTGAATGTGACTGAATGCTAATTTGGATATTTCCTGATTTAAAAAGATAGATATTATGGTGAAATTTAGGAGAAATTTGAATACAAAAAAGTGATTTTTATGCACTAGATTAAACAAATTATACCAAAATATCTGAAAATAGGCAAATTGCCTAGGCAAGACTAAATTACTTAAACAGAACTTAATTCTTAAAATAATAGGAATGTTTATTCCATCAGTATACCCATTAGTAAGCAAATCTTCAGATATTTATATAGAATCATTTTATGTCAACTTACTGAGCCAAATGTAGAATATTTTGCTGCTCAGGGTAGTCATTGCTGTGAACTGGTCTTGATCACTTTTACTTCTGACATACTCCATACTTAGACTTTCTCCATCTTCAAGATGAAATGAATTTCCCTTTGGCTCAATGTTAATGACACTAAAGGAATCACTAGGCAAGACTATTGTTGAGACTCCTAAAGAATTCCTTAACACAAAGGGAGCTCGATCTTTTTTGAAGATTTCTGAAGTTTGTGTAGCTGCTTCTGCAAATGCCTAATCCAGCAGGGTATAAAAGATAAAAAAATTAATGGATATTGACACCTAAGTAAAAAAGTAAGAGCAGCCTACATACAAGTTTCTTCATTCAGGACAGTGGCCCAAACTAAAGTTCCTCTTACCGTGCCCAGGTTACTCAACATTAGCAGCCCACATTTGGACAATGTAATGTTCAGCTGATCTTGGGAGTAAATCGTTATCACTGTTTTGTAGTCTGGCACCTTGTAGTGTTCTTCTTCATCAACTGATTCAACTAAAGATTTTTTGGCCTTCTTCTTCATCTTTAAAGAAAGAAAAGAGAGGTTAGTACCATATACAGAAGACTCTTACTGTATATAGAATATTTAGAATATTTGAAATAGTAACATAACTTTTCAAAATTGCTTCTTAAGTACCTCTGAATCCTAAAAACTGAGGTATAACCAAAAGATAGTGAAACAATAGCATCATAAAGAAAGCTACATACAATAAACAACATGAATAAAATAAATATTGTACTCACAACAGCTCCTGTGTCACCTGCTTTGTAAGTCAAGAGCACATCTGCACAAACACTGGCACTGTGTAAGAGGTGCTCTCCATAAAGAAAATATCTTCTGCTTGGCAACAGAAATATTTGCATAGGCAATGAAAAGTTAGGTTACCTACCTGTAATCATGGTTCTTCTAGTGGAATTCACACAAATGGGTTTATCCTGTGCCTGCACAGGACGTTCGGAAGATTCTAGAGCTTGGGAAAAAAGAGTCAATTAGTCCCCCACAGGGTATGAGCTCCACCTCCTCAACCTTCCTTTCAGTTTCCCTGGTCTGCTGTTACCATATGGAGTAGATAGATAGAACAGTACCATGACGGACAGAGGGGTGGAAGGGAAAGATGTGTGAATTCACAGAGGTCCACTAGAAGAATCATGGTTATAAGTAGGTAACCTAACTTTCTTCATAGTGGTCTCTGTGAATACACACAAATGGGTAATTAGCAAGCTGACTCACCGGATGGAGGGCCATCATGGCAAGAGGGATGACAGGATCACCCTTCCAAATGTGGCATCATTCTTGGCTCTGACAATGAGGTGGTAGTGCCTGGCGAAGGTCAGAGGGACCAAGTGGCCGCTTTGCAGATGTTGTGAAGTTGAATGCCGCGATGTAAAGCAGTCGATGTAGAGTCAGCTCGGGTAGAATGAGCTTTAAGATGTTCCGGTACCAGCTTGTTGGTAAGTTGGTATGCCAGCTGTATCGACTGCACTATCCACCTTGATGTTTGTGGAGAGGCAGGTGCACCCTTGTTAATCCCATGGTAGCACAAAAAAGATGTGGGGAACGTCTGAAAGGTTTGGTTCTGTGGAGGCAGAAGGCAAGAGCTCTTCTCACATCAAGAGTATGGAGCTTATGCTCAACTGGTGTGGATGGAGATGGAAATAGGGTCGGAAGCACGATGGGTTGGTTTACATGGAATTCTGACACCACCTTGGGCAGGAAGGACACATCTACGTAGGTACAGGGTGACCTTCTCAGGGTGCATCTGGAGATACACTTTCAATCAATATTTCTCTTGTAGTGCTTATACTTTCATTCCTGCTTGTACAATATTGTTTAAACGTTTCAATTTCCTTTCCTAACACTCTCAGCTCAATTCACTAACCCTCTCCTTCTGTCTCCTAAACCCTAACTGCCATTTCGCTACATACCTTGAAGCCTGGGAGCGAAGACCTAATGAAGAATAAATGGACTACTGAAAGCAAATGTAAAATGTAACAATATGGTTCAAATATGTATAAAGAAAAATAAGTAATTGCAAATGTAACTTGCCTTTAGGTGAAATAATGATAATCAATGAGTTTAATGGTGTTGAGTAAGTATTAAAATGATTTAAAATGTGTAATATTATTAGAGGGTATGTGGAAAAAAATTTACTAAACTGGTTCTATGTTGTTCATGGAGCAAACCACCGTAGGTTTTACTCCATGGAACAAACTTTCTAAGGGGGAAGATATGTAGCAAAATTCCAAAAGGTGATGTCATTCCTGTCTGTCCATCACGAAAGCTCAAGGGAGAGGAGCCAAGGAGAGGGCAGGAAGGCCGGAGTTAGACAGACAGCTGGACAGTTAGAGAGACAGTTTGAGATGTGGAATGGCAGTTAGGGTTGAGAAGAGAGAAGAAGAGGGTTAGAGAATTGAGCTGGGAGTGTTAGGAGAGGGAATTGAGGAGGTTAAACAATATTGAACAAGCAGGAATGAAGTTACAAGTACTGTAAGAGAGATAGTGATTAAAAGTACATAGTAGTTTGGAATAAAAGTGATTGTATACATAATCCAACCCATGTTAAGACCTGATACAGTTCATACTTGATTTACCTTTATGATTTACTTGACAATAAAAGAATATTTGTTAATTAAACCTCTGATTCCTAAGTTCAATAACCCTCAGTTTTGGTAGCACACATGTATAACTTAATTGGTATTAGGAGAATACCTGGTGGCAGCGTGAAGGAAAAGGGTGTGATCCCTTGTGAGGGCCAAATAAATAGGGGCAACAAGGTAGATCGCCACAGGGAGAGTCCGATCTGAGAGCAGCCTACTCACTAGCTCTCCTGGCAGATGTAATTGCCACGAGGAATGCCACCTTCAGAGAGAGTAACTTTTCATTACAGGTAGCCAGTGGTTCGAATGGTGGTTTTGTAAGAGCCTCAAGAACAAGCTGCAGAGACCATTGAGGCACAATTCTCTGTGATGGAGGCTGAACGTTCTTTAAACCCCTAAGGAATCTCTTGAGCATGGGGTGTGAAAAAAGTGTAGCAGAGCTAGACCCAGGAGGTTGGTGAGCGACTATTGATGCAATATAAACCTTAATAGTGGAGTGTGTCAGTCCAAGGTTAAAGAGACACATGATAAAGGTAAGTAGAGTCATAAGAGACGAAGGGGGTGGGGTACGTCCCTTAGATGCGGTGAATATGAGGAAAGATTTCCGTTTGGAACTATACAGGCGAGAAGTGGATGGTTTCCTGGCCTGGTCTAAGATTGCATGGAATTTGGGGTTATCCTCCACGCCACCAGATGTTAGTTAGGCATCCTTCAGTCTCGAAAGACTATGGTAGCGTGCTCTGTATGGAGGGCTTAGAACAGTGCCTAGTGTGGCTGAGAAGGCCAATTCGAGAGTGACAGTCCCTTCCACACTGAAGACAAATCCAGTCTGTCCCCTGTCTGGCTCCCTGGTTTTGCTGCTTTTGAGCCTTCCTCTTTGCCTCGGCCTGCTGGGCAAGGGTCTCTTCAAATTGGGAGAGGCCGTGATGCACCGCCTGCCTCCAGGCTGAACGCTCAGATGTCAGGTTTTCCCATCTGTTGAGGTCTATTCCTAAGGCCTTCAGATCTCGCTTGCAGATGTCCTTGTATCGCAGTTGTGGTCTCCCTCTGGGGCGCTTTCTCTGCACTAATTCTCCATAGAGGAGATCCTTTGGAATCCGACCATCAGCCATTCTCACGACGTGCCCGAGCCAACGTAGACGTCGCTGTTTCAGTAATGTGTTCATGCTGAAAATTCGAGCTCGTTCTAGGACTGCTCTGTTTGGAACGTTGTCCTGCCAGGTGATGCCAAAAATCCGTCGGAGGCAACGCATATGGAAGGTGTTCAGCTTCCTCTCCTGCCGTGCACAAAGGGGCCACGACTCACTGCAGTACAGAACACAGGCTCTATAAACCTGGATCTTCGTATGTGTCGTCAGCTTCTTATTGAGCCATACTCTCTTTGTGAGTCTAGAGAACATGGTGGCTGCTTTGCCAATGCATTTATCCAGCTCGACATCTAGAGAGAGGGTGTCAGAGATGGTTGAGCCGAGGTACACAAAGTCATGAACAACCTCCAATTCTTGTGTGGAGATGGTAATAGAGGGAGGTGAGTCCATGCCCTGGCCCACGACTTGTGTTTTCTTCAGGCTGATTGTTAGTCCAAAGTCTTGGATGAGACATCGGGATGAAAGATTGCCCCGTCGTTCTGGGAGAGGAGAGATGGTATCGCAGGTAAGTGGAATAGTTCTCGTGTTATCTCCCTCAGGTGGGTGAACCAGGGTTGTCACAGCCACCATGGGGCGATGAGAATCGCGTCTGTCTGGTATTGGATGATCCTGGTTGCCGTTTTGAGTAACATTGGTATTGGAGGAGAGAGGCAAGTAAGTTCCCCGGACCACAGTACCATGAACGCATCTCCGAGAGATGCTCTGTCCCTGCTTGCTCTTGAGCTGTACCTGGGGCACTTGGCATTGGTACGGGAAGCAAAAAGGTCTAATGTTGGCTGACCCCATCTATGGCAGATGCCCAGGAAGACAGTGTCGTTGAAGGACTATTTGTGCGTCCTGGTGGGAAGTCTGCTTAGGCAGTCTGCCAGGTAGTTCTCTTCCGATGAAATGTGTATTGCCTGTGGGGAAATACGATGGGTACGACACCACTCTCAGAACTTTATGGTGAGATGAAACAGAGGAAGTGATCAAGTTCCTCCTTGTCTGTTTATGTAGTACATGACCATGGTATTGTCGGTCACAAGCTGTATTGATTTTCCCATGATTCTGGGTAGGAAGGCCTGAAAGGCCTTTATGATGGCTAGCATTTCCAGCTGATTTATGTGGAGCGGTCTTTCACCCCTCGACCATAGTCCATGCATCTGCAGTTCCTGCCAGTGAGCTCCCCAACCAGAGGGGCTGGCATCTGTCGTCACCTGGACTGATAGGGGCGGCGGCCGGAATGGTCTGCCGATCAGCAGGTTGTGGGGGGACACCCACCACATGAGCTGGGTTGCCAGTAGTGGCTGTACCACGAGCTTTTTTAGCTGGGAGTCTATTTCAGGGTCGAATTGTGAAATGAACCAGGATTGGAGTGAACGGAGTTTGAGTCTGGTGTATGAGACCACCGACCTGTGGAAGCCATAAGGCCCAGCAGGTGTTGAACACTGAGAGCGGTGACGGTACTGAGGGGTCAGAAAGGATGAAGTGCTTGACAGATTTTCTCTACTTGGTTGAGTGGTAGGAATGCTTTCGCCCAATGGGTATGGGTATCCAATCACACTCCTATGTAAGTCACTAGTTGAGACAGTACTAGGTGGGATTTCTCTGAATTTATTTGTAGGCCTAATTTGTGTAGGACCTGAAGGGTAGCTCTTGTGGCTATGATGGCCTCCTGATAAGTCCTGGTGACAAGGAGCCAATTGTCGATGTATGGGAAGAGTTTTATCCCCATGGTACGGAGGTAAGCCATAAAAGGGGCCATGCATTTTGTAAATGTCCTGGGAGATGTAGAAAACCCAAAGGGGGGAGTGGGAAATTGGTAAGTGGTATGCTGGAACCTGAACCGAAGGAATCTTTGATGGGACAGTTCAATTGAAATATGAAAGTAAGCGTCCTTGAGATCGATGGTAGTGTACCAGTTTCCCTGTGACAGAAGAGGGAGAATGGAGTCCAGGGTTAGCACACAGAATTTTTTGTAGAAAATGTATTCATTGAGTTGCCGGAGGTCCATAATAGGCCTGATGCCTCCATCTTTCTTAGGGACAGCAAAGTACTGGGAGAAAAAGAAACCCGTCTGAGTCATTAGGTGGGACTATGACTATCACTCTTTTACTGAGGAGAGCCGAAATTTCCTCCTGTAAAGGTAAGGAGTATGGGGTGGGCTTGATGGAATTTGTCGGGGGAATGTGCAAGAATTCTATGGAATAGCCCCTCTCAATGATAGTCAGAACCCATTTGTCTGATGTAATTTTCTTCCACTGGGGAAGGAACGGAAATAGTCTAGTGGAAATATCAGGGCAATTAAGAATAGGGCTTACCCCTGTGTTGGGATTTCTGAAAGGGCTGCCTGGAGCTTTGATATTGTTGCTGCTCAGATTGCAACATGGTGGATTGAGGCGGCTGGTAGGCACGATCATGGTGTTGTTGCCTGCTGTACCAAAAGGACTGGTACTGAGGGAGTTGTTGGTAGAATGGCTTCTTATAGGAAGGTTTCGGGTACCAATAAGGCTGGTACGGGATGTAGGATTTAGCAGTCTTTCTCATTTTGTGGATATTCTCCATTATGTCGTCTGTCCTAGAATTGAACAGCCTAACTGTGTCGAAAGGAAGATCTTCGATCTTAGTCTTGGTATCCTCCAGGATGTTGGCCGCTCGAAGCCACCCGTGTCTTCTGAGTGCTATTGAAGTACGTAAAGATTTGGAGGCAGTATCAGCGGTATGCTTTGCTGTGTGCCTTTGTTGTCTAGCGAGGGTATTGGACTCTGCATAGATGTTGAGAGCTTCGGTCTTCAATGGATTTGAAAGGGTTTGAAGCAAGGGGAGAATCCTATCCCACAAATGCTTTTGGTAAGCACCCATTGCGTTTTGGTAATTCAAAATCCTAATAAGCAAAGTTGCCAATGAGTAAAATTTTTTACCAAAGGAGTCAATTTTTCTGCCCTCCTTATTGACCGGTGTGGTGGTAGATCTACTGCGAGACTTGTATTGAGTAGCCTCAAACACAATGGAGTTGGGAATGGGATGTTTCAATAGAAAATCTGAGTCTGAACCATGTGTTTTATAATGGTGTTCAATTTTGCGCAGGATCTGGAGAGTTGAAGGAGACTTTTCCCAAGAGTCCTTAACCAAAGTAAGGAGTGCCGGTATGAGGCTCAAACTAGGAGGAGGCGTTTTGTCCTGCTCCATATCATGAAAAATCAAGTCCAGTTCTTGTTGAGGAATTTGTGCATCAAGTTTTAGTGTCTTTGCCATGCGCAAGATAAGTTGTGCATATTACGTATAGTCCTCGAGAGGGGACTGCAAGATATTGCCAGTGGCACCAGCATCAGGAGTTTCAGATTCGTCAGATGATGATGAGTTGGCACCCATAGACGACTGGGAAGTCGATGGTGGTGGACGTGGTACTGGGGCTGACAGTATAGGGTCAGCATCCGATTGAGTAGATACAGAGAAGGGTTCTGTATCATTGTCGTGGGGACCAGAGTACATTGTGGTAGCCTGTACCGAGGAATGGCCCTTATGAAGTTTGAGTCATTTAGGTGGCGCGGAAGGTGTCAGTATCATTGGTCTCTTCCGGGATGGTGCAGCTTGAGGAGTAGAGACATCCCCTTGGTACTGCAACGATGATTGTTGTGGAGGAGCTATGGAAGGGTACCAGGGTGGTAGCTGGTAGTCCAGTCCTCTGTATTGATCTGTATATCCATAGTTCTGGTATGGCTAGGGATGGTACCACTCAGGGGACAAGTGACCATAAGGAGGTAAACCCTCAGGATTGGAATATTGCTCCTCAAGCCCGGATGGCTGGTACAGAGAGGCATGTTTGCATTTCTCCTTACTTTTCCTAGGAGTGCAAGGAGCAGACTTCTGTTCCGACTCAGTCTCGGTATCTGCCCGCCCTGAGGAACGAGGGCTAGAAGGGGCTATGGCCAGGCTGGATGGTGCAACAGCTCCAAATCGGCCTGAACTCAAAGACATGGTCAGGATATCATGAGCTTAGGCTGGAGGTATAGCGCATTCCTTCCTGTCAGAAAACCCAATATCATCCCTTGAAGACTCCTGTACCAGTATAGGAGGTATAGCAAGAGGTACGGTAGCCAATTTGGCTAAGTCCTTTTGCCTCTTAGGCTTTTCCTTGTCCTTTTTCTTATTTACAGGATCAGTAGACTGTGGCTGAGCCTTGGAAGAAGCCGGCTTAGGCAGTTTTTTAGATTTCTTGGATTTCACAGGTAAAGAAGTTGTGCTGGATAGAGACTGGGCAGCAGGGTTAGTGGTTGATTTAGCAACCTCCTGGCGAGGAGGATTGGAGGGAGAGAGGGCTGTAGCCTCTATAGCAGGGTTGAGAGTATTTTTTTTTGTAAAGAAAAGATTTGAGTCGTTGGAAAAACTCCTGCACGCAGTGCACAACTGGGTGAGGTGGGTTCCCCCAAACAAAAAAGATAAAGATCGTGCCCGTCTCTAAGTGGAATTTGTTGAAGACAAACTGAGCACTTCTTGAAGCCCCGAGGGGCCATAAAACAAAAGAAAAAGGGGGGAACCCGTTGAGGGAAGGGGGGAAACAATGATAGAACAGAAAAATGCAAGCTGTAGGTTCTGAGAAAACAAGTAGAATACTGAGAATAATAAAGAACAATATAGAAAAAATATTAAAGATTGATTTAGCAAAGCTAAAATCATTTCCCTTAGCACTCTAGTCTCCTAACGTCCTACTCAAACAGCGGAAAAAAGGAAACTGAAAGGAAGGTTGAGGAGGCGGAGAGGAACTAATTGACTCTGCGGGGGGGGGCTCTTTTTTCCCCAAGCTCTAGAATTTTCAGAATGTTCTGTGCAGACGCAGTATAAACCCATGTGTTTATTCTTCTACAAAGAACCCCTGACAAGTATTTTTAGTGGAAATATCCACTCATTGGAAACTCAATAGAATACTGGCTATTGTTCGATTCACATTTCACTAGCAAATAACTGGTGAGATGTGCGCAGAGCAGAGACACATATAAACCCTTTAATGTGTTCCCATATACTCCACACAAAAGAACATTGTTCGCACTTCTAAGCCATCTTGTGTTAATACAGAACAGGATAGGGCAGTGTGGGTGGCACCCATCTCAAATGGAAAGACATATTTGGGCCATTAAAATGACAAACTATACCTTTAGAATATATAATGGAACATTCTGAGAATTTTTTCCCATGATGGCCTAGCTGAAGCGTCTGTGCGTTTTTGAAGTCACTTTCATTTTTTAAAAATTAAAGCCTGGGTACTAATGGGAGAACCAAAAGTGGTGACTGTATGATGGCTGTGACCCTCCATAGCCCTTGCGGGCAGGCGTGCCTTTTACTCCTAGGTTTGCCCACTTTGGAATGAAGGGATTTCCCAATGTCTTTCTTTTTATCCCAGAACACAATCATCTTTGGGCAGAAGATAAAGTAGATGTGCCTGGATCCATTTTTAAATCTGTCTTCAAAGATGAAAAAACAAAAACACATCTCCCATGTTCTCCTTCTTCAGTGATGATAGATTTCTACTCAATAGGCAAAACATTATCCTTCTCAAATAATGAAGACTTATACATTGTGGCAAGAGCATATATTCAAATTTTTATGATGGAATATCCGTTAAATCTATTAAGTCTATTTATCTTGAACACAAGCCAGTTCATACATCTAAAATTTACCTTCAGTTCTAGAACCCATGGTCTGAACTCATCGCTGCTTTCAATTTCAAGTGGTTCAAGCAATGGCTCCCAAACACCAAACAGCTCATTGTAATAATGTACCTAAAATACAATGAGAAAATTGTTCTGCCATTACCTTTATTAATAACAATGCTTAAAGTAGAATAGTGGAATTAAGTTACACCTCCTGTATCATACTTTTTTTTGGGGGGGGGGGAGACATGGAAGTGAATTTCTCCAGTCATTTTTGGCTTCATGGAAAGGGCTGGGAAGGCCCATGGCAGGTCCAGTGTGATGACAATGGTTGCCAGACCCTCCAAAACTGGTTACTCCTGATGTGTACATATACAGGACATCCTTCTACATTTCTGCTTCTAACACCATTTTGATTGGTTCAATGTAATGCTATATTTACTCTTTGAAAATGCTGATTTGAACACTATGCTTTGGCACAGATCATTTTGAAATCATCCGCTGGCAATAGAAAAAATGCATCATATTTGTTGAGGTAAAGCTGCACTCCTCACCCCATGACAGATAACAATTATATCCAATGTGAAAAGATCATTTTGAATACCTACCACATGTTGGCTACAATTCATTAAAAATCTACAATTTTCCACCACAGTAACAGAAACATATACTCACCTCTAGTTCAAGACGAGAACAAAGATTGATCAAACTGCTCCAGTTTTTCACTTCTCCAGAAAATGAGGATTTTGCTAAAAGCATTGGTACTGTTTTATGACCGACACCAGCTTCAAGAGTTACAACAACAGTTTCTATTCTCATTTTCAAGGTCTCTCCTGTAGGAACCAACTCAGTTACAGAAACAGGATCTTTATTTTCACTTGACTCTTCAAGAAACCACATATTTAAATTTTTAATATCCTTCTTGTCCCAAAGATCAGGTGGTACTGGGCTAATGTCTTTCTCTGAGGTCTCTCCTGCTGGGAAAAGTGCTGAGGTAATTGTCATGACTGTATTCAAAATAATGGGTGACACCTGTGGTTAAAAGGAAAGAAGACTATGTACCAAAAATTTACTGCATTATGACTCCAAAACTACTGCATATTAGAAGCAGCAGCACGCAGGTATGAATATGTGAAGTAGGCATTATTTAAAACAAAATTCTATCTTAATTAATTATCTTGTTTTCCTGAGTTTTTTAAAATTGCATTTATTTCTCTTTTTTTAATAAAATTCTTCCAAACAAGAATTTTAAGCCTATAAAACGCCTGTGACTCAAAGACAGACACACATGGAACTACAGCTATTAACAATTATATTAGAAGGCAACATAATCAAAGGCTTGTTTTAAAAGAGAAGTGTTCAAATAATGAGGAAACAGGGATAGAAAACAAGGGGACATAGCTTCTTTAGGCATATTCTGCTTCCAAAGAGAAAGTCTTCTTGCGCACTGACACCGTAAGTGCCTATTTTTTAGGCACAGTCTAAGGAGAAATCCATCAATTGCAAAATATAAAGAAATATACCAAGCTTAGATAGTTGATGCAGCTATTAGTATAATCACATTCATTCTTGAGATTAATGCAGACACATAAATGTTTGACATACCTTAATCATTATGGATTTAATGGAGAGATCAGCTTTCTGAGGTTCTTCACCTGATTGCATCATATCAAAAAACAGATCACAGGGCTGCAATATCTGGATATAAATAAAAAGGAATCAAATTTAAAAAATATATCAAAATGCAGCAAAAAAAAAAATCATGCAAACCTCCCACAAAGAACATAAGTATATACTGCCAAAGAGATGAAGCTATTTCAATTAGTGAAGTGTTTCCCAAAACTCTTGGCTTCATCAATTAACATCTGTATGGAAACAAGAAAAATTCATGTACGTATGCTGCACTGTTGTTTTTGCAGATTTCCTGGTTGAATAAGTATGTCTGACAAGAATGCTGGTCCTGAACTCACTTCTGGGGTTGCATTTTGTTAGTGGTGGTAGCTCTGGGGCCAAGCCAGAGTGGTGGGTGCCATCTCTGGCCGGGCTCCTTCTTCCTGGGATTCATCGGACTGCAGTGACCTCTTCCTGCCCAGGCCAATAAGAATGGCCCAGAGGTGCTGGGCTGTCATGGCCAGCCCGCTGGGCAATTGAAAACTGCCACCAACTCAAGAGCTCTCTTTTGTTCCTGAGCTTCCCTGGTGAGAACCTGGCAATGGCAAAAGCTGAGGGCAGTGCATGCCACCAAGGCAACAGGCAGCGGTGAGGAGCGGTGATGTGTGGGGCACACAAAAGGGACAGACTACACAATGGACAAATAGAGAAGCAGCAGTGACAATGACTGAACAGGCAGCAGCAGCATAATACGTATGTGGGAGTGCACAGAAGGGGGAAAAGCCCACAAGGGAAAAGTAGTGAAACACCACAGAAAGTTGTGGAAAGAAAAAGAAAGAAAACAAAAAGAAAAAAAGAGGAGGGGCAAGAAGCTGCAGAAACAGTAATATAAAAAAGCAGAGGAAACAGGGGGACAGCTGGAAGCAAGCAAGTGAGGCAGTACATAAAAAAGAGTGCAGACTTATAAAGATAAGGAAAAAACAAACACAGTAAGACTGCCATATCCACGGGGTCAATATACATGATTTCACTTAACCACAGTTGACTGCATTCAGAAAAAATGTAATAAAAATTGCAGAAATATAGTATAGTACCTGTAAATTCATTAATAAAATTGTGTTTGTTGTTCTGAGTAATGTCACAAAATCTTGTGCAGTGGAAGAAGACACCGAGGATGCTAATAATCCTTTAGGTTTAGCCCATGATGTATACACTATTCAGCTGTTCACTGTTCCCATTACTCAGAAAAGCCCTTATGATACTACAATGCTTGTGTTCAAGTACTTATCTCTCATTTAGCTTAATACTGTATGTAATGGTCTCAAGCACAATGATGCTGGCAAAACCAAAGTGCCAAGGAGAAGTTGTGCTTCCTTTATGGGAAAAGCTGATTTGATAGGGAAAGGGGTGGGGGGAAGAGAGAAGGATGCTGAGGTTGCTAGAATTTATGATATGAATGAATCTGTGAAACTGTGGAAAAAAATTTGTGCCACTCTTGTCATTACACCTCAGACTGCAAAAGCTACAGTAAAAGTGTGTGACAAGTGCTTATCTGAGGTGGAAAATTTGTGGGGGAAAGACATGAACAGAAAACATGATCCAGTTGATGGTAATGTGTTGCGTCAGAAAGCAATGGGACTATACAAAGAATTTAGCAAGGGATCTCCTAAAACGAGTGACACCACGTCAGTTACTGAAAGTAGGGGATAGTTACACAGATTTAGGAATAGGATTTGACTGAGAAATGTAAAACTTACTAGAGAGGCTGCATCTGCTGATGTGAAAGCTGCTGCCACACTGCAAGCACAGTTTAAGGAGATGTTCAATGAGAAAAGATACCATTCAAAGCTAGTTTTCAATTGCAATGAAGTGGGGCTGTTCTGAAAGAAGATGCCCATCAGAACCTACATCTATAAAAGTCCAAAGCAGGCACCAGAGCATAAAGCAGTATTTCCCAGCCTGGAACTCATGGCCCCCAAGGGGTTACAGAGTGTTTTCTGGGAAGTTGTGAGTCACTTTACATGTGTTGTAGCTCTTGTAAAATAATTTATTCCTTTCCATTTCAGAGCCAGAGATTAAAGTTAGCATATGTGTGTATGTATGACAAACAAGACTTTTGGTGGAGAAAAAAGGTTGGGAACAAATGACATAAAGTTTGGAAGGACAGATTAACTCTGACACTATGTACAAATGTTGCAGGTCATATGATAAAGCGAGCGAAGAAACCACGTGCTCTTAAAAACAAAAAGAAAAATTATCTGCCTCTATTCTGGGAATATAACAAGAAAGCTTGAGTGAAAGCTGTTTTCTTTATGAATAGTTCCACTAATAGTTCATCTGAGAAATGAAAAAAATATTTTGAACAAGAAGTGTTGTCATTTAAAGCCCTATAATTAATAGACAATGCACCGGCCATCCTGAATCTGTTTGTTTTGACAATGAAAATGTTGAGGTTGTATTTTTATCTCCAAATACAACCTCACTGCTTCAGCCGCCTGATGAAGAGATTATTTGGTGTGTCAAGGCAACACACACTTGCCTGATATTTGACTGCATTCAATCAGCAATTGATGTAAACTCTAATCTGAACATACTGCAATACTGGAAATCATTCACTATTACTGACACAATAACATCCATAAAAGCTGCAGTGGATGGATTAAAACCAGAGAAAGCCATCAACAAGTGCTAATAAATGAAGAACTACGTAGTTAAATCATCTACAAAGAAGGAGGGAGATGAAGCAGAAACTGTTGAAGAACCAGCAATGTGCACAGTTGAAAAAAAATGCTGAAATGTTTTGAATTGCACAGACTTTAAAGGCCAGAGTTATGGAATAAAATCCTTGGATGGAACACAGCATTAAAGTTACTTGTATGATCACCAAAGCATGTAGCAACATTTTGATGAGTTACAAAGAAAGGAAAAACAACTTCCAATCACAATGTTCTTCAAAAAAGTTTCAGCAAAAAAATGTCCAACTATCGAGGCGCCCCAACAATCAGCATAGTCTGCTAATGAAATCCAACCATCAATACTGTCATTGCTCAATGAACCAGGATCACCCAAAGCAGCTGATCCTTCAGATGATCAATACACCTAGCTCTAAATCGCAACACCTCACTTCATTGCATCACTTATGCGCTGAGCCATCATCTCAATAGACCAAATTCTCATAACTTTTATTGTTCAACTTTACTTTCATTATTAGTTATTTCTGTTAATGCCTTACTGTGGAAAATATATACATTAAACTTTAAAAGCAGAGTGTACACTATATATTCGCTCAATGAACCAGGATCACCTGAGCCAGCTCAACCTTCTGATATATTGTAAAATGATCACTGGAAAGGTGAGGGTTAAGGTTCTGTGCCAAGCACAGGGGGAGAGGCAAAGGGGACAATTGGGAGGAGAACCAATCTGCAAACAGAGAGGGTGTAACCCTAGAGAGAGCCTGCAACACAGAAAGTTTCAGAAGAATCATTTGAAGGATCTGATCATTCTAACATATCTTATCCTTAAAAGCAGTGTTCACTAATATCCGTGGGTTTTGGCATCCATGGAGGCGGGCTTGAAACCAGTCCCCCAAGGATACAGTGGACCTACTGTACTTTAAGGAGTGGGGTGGCCAGCTCCAAACCTTTCAGCTCCTTTTTGTAATCTCTCTCTCTCTCTTAAATAAATTAAAAAGTTAGCTAGGGGTGAAGAATCTGTGTAGATTCTTTGGGAGCTTGCCAGGGGTTCAGGCAGAAAGACCTGCAAAGAGGAGAGGCAGGCTGCAGTGGCATTGGGGAATTTGCAGGTGTGACATACAAGCCAACA